GATTGAGCTGATCACCGGCATGGCGGTGTTGGTGCGACCGCCCAGCAGCTCGCACACGGGCAGCCCGACGGATTTGCCGAAGACGTCCCAGCAGGCGACGTCGAGCGCGGTCTTGGCGTGTGCGTGCCCTACTAGGGCGGCGTCCATCGCCTCGTTGATCCGGTCGACTCGTCGTGGGTCGAGGCCCAGGAGGTGCGGCGCGAGCTCGGCGATGCCAGCGCGGACGCCGCGCGCGTGGGAGGCGATGTACGTCGCGCCGAAGGGGGTGCTTTCGCCCCAGCCTTCGAGGCCGGTGTTGGTGGTGATGCAGACAATGGTCGCGTCGAAGCTGGTGTATGTGCGACCGCCGGAGAGGTGGTAGACGCCGCCGGCGTAAGGGAGGTCGACTTGGTAGACGTCGATGCGGGCGATTTTGAGGGAGGCCATTTTCGGGGGTCAGCGATGGTTGGGTTGAAGCAGGGAAGGCGAGATGATGTGTTGCATTGACGGTCTGATCTTTTGCCCGGAAGGACCGTCCTCATATATTCTAGCGGTGGTTAGCTGGGATCCTGTGCATGTGTATGCTGTGTTCTTCAAAACGGGTGGTGGTTTTAGGGCTTGGCTGTCCACAGGCGCCGCCGCGTACGGTCCCGGATTCCCGAAAGGGTAGACAATCCGCCTGTTTCTCGAGTCTCGAATTTCTTGCTCGTTTGGGATATCTAAGGCTTGCAGTCTGTTATTGATATACCTTCCTCAAGGATAGTTGTTGGACGCTAGACCAAATTCAGTGTCAAAGACGAGAGCCTGAGCCTATCAACTGCACCCCGCATTGCCCCGCTGGACTTGATATGCAGTTCGCCTAGGGTCTTGGCCACGCCAGCTAAGCATTACAGTATCGCGACAGACTATTGCGGGGTAAATCCACCTAGTTCTTATCATGCAAAGCGCCCTACAGTGTGGAGAATCTCTCGAAGAAGCCTTGCCACGGCAAGTGTCTGTCATTCTATCTGCTCAATCATCTGGATGCGAGACCATCAACAGCCCAGGAAAACACCTCAGTATCCGCAAAGACTAAGACATAGCAGCACCGCCTACGAGCCAATTTGCATATTTTATGCGACCAGGAAGCCTCCCATTAACTCCAATGTTCCTGATTTCATCCCCAAGTCTCCGCCCCCAACACCACCCTTGTCAACTCCAATCAAACCCAATCGCAGCCACTCCCAGCAATCCATCTTTTACACAAATCCAAAACCCTAAGCCCTCCAACTCCCCTCGAACCTCCCCTGCACCCCCTCACACCCAGCAAACCACCCCGGCCGGCACCGAGTAAAACACTCAATCTGCGGCGTGAAGATCTCCAACCTACATTCCTGTCAATACCATACAGGCCCAATCCATTGTACAAGGAAAGAAACGCACCCATCCGGAATCAACGCCGGCCGCACCACCACAGTCCCGCCGCCCTCGGTCGCGCGTGGGACAGTGTAGACGGTGCATCCGCATCTTCCGCAGAAGTACTTGTGCTTGGGGGCCCCGCTCGTCGTATCGGTGATTGCGTAGAAGCGTAGTTGGCTGTCGGTGTCGTGAAGGGTGAATTGCGATTGGGGGTAGCGTGCGGTCTGTATTGTTAGGGTATCTTGTTGAGGCACGAGGTGGTCATGGTTATGATGGGATAAGGGGGGCCAGAGTAGAGACTCACTATCTGGCAGGGTCCGCCGGCGCCGAGGGAGCAGTCGCGGCAGTAGCAGCAGTAGACGGCGGTGGGGGCGCCAGTGACGGTGAACTGGATGGCGCGGCAGAGGCAGGCGCCGGTGTGGGTTGTTGTGGGGGAGATGGACATGGTGGGCGGTGATTTGAGCTGTGTTGGAGCTGGAATTCTGCGTTGATGATGTGGTCGAGTGTGGCAGGGGGTAATTATCTCGCTGCTGATGTCAAGATAAGAGTATGCCTGCGGGGGCTGGAGGGGCGAGTGGGAGATGGGAGGCTTATGGGTGGATCTGCGGTATCTGGCGCTCATCAAACACGCCTGATCCGGTTAGACAGGACTAAGACTGTACTGCATCGGAGATACGCGGGGTAAGCTTGCTTTCTCCGAGCGAAGGCATAACATCGCATCTTGAGTTAGGTTAGTTAGTCTTTGGTCCAGTGACTCCCGTCACCGACATGCCATGATTTTGCTTGCCTACGGAGAAAAATGTATAGGACGTGAGTCTTACCATGAAGCGCACTGCTCTGGAGGCTAATGCTAATCCTTTGTAGATCATATCTCCGCTCCGTAGAGGTGCTAGACAGTGAGTTAGTGAACCGAGTAGTTTCCTCAGAGACACCGAGAACGTTACTCCATACAGATCATCACCATGGCTGTAGTTACCATATGTCTCCGGACATGTTATCCAAGCTAGAGCTATGATTTTGAGAGAAGAGAATACATCTGGCAAGCAAGCGTGATATTTGTCTGTTGAGAGTGTATCGGAGGCCAGACAGCAAAACATAGGGCTAGCCCAAACAGCAGCGCACATGCCAATGTATCCACCCCATAGATCACAAACACTTTCATGAAGCTGCACCATAAACCCTCAATCGGCCAGTCGCAATCTTCACACCCCAACGCCCCTCCTCTTGCTCCCCCGCCACACCAATCCAACCACCTCCTCCCAAAACCCCGGCATGGGCCCCTCAAACCCCGCCTCATATGCATCCACCGCGGGCGCCTCCCACACCAAGTCCACCTCCTCAGCCTTCACAACCGTGGTCCCCTTCAGCCACTTCCACCCGAAAAACAGCACCGGCGCCACGAGCTGCATAGAGTAATTCTCAAAGAACGTCTGCACATCCCACGGCGCAAACGCCGTATACCCGTACCCGAGCAGCACGAACACCATCCCCACGACCCCGATCCACGCGCAGTACGGCTGACCCCACCCAACATACGGCAGCGTCCGGCGATCGAGCCCTTGCACCTGGCATGCGCGGTAGAACTGCAGGTAGGTGATGCACATGACCAGGAAATCGATTAACGCGCCGGCTGTTATGAGCGAGACGAGGAGGTTGAGGACCTTGGCGGAGTTGTTGGACAGTTGCAGGAACGAGAGGAACGGGAAGCAGATAACAATTGCAAACGCGTAGACGGGCACGCCGTTCCGGGTCTTGGTGAGCACGCGCGGCGCGCGGCCCTCGAGCGCGAGGCCGTACAGTGAGCGTGTGGCGCAGTAGGTCAGTGTGTTGCCGGCCGAGAAGATGGAGGTGATCAGGAGGGCATTGACGAGGTGCGGGAGCCCCGTGATGCGGAGGTTGGCCATGGCGATCACGTACGGCGAGGCGGCGGCGCCTGTGGCGCTGCTCTGGCCGTGCAGGATCGCCTGCAGGGTGGGGTCGGTCCAAGGGACGACGATGCCGACGCAGGTGACGCCGAGCACGAAGAACAGCCCGAATCGCCAGTAGATGGTCTTGAAAGCCGCCTTGACGACGGTGCGCGGCCGCTGCGCTTCCGCCGCGGACATGGAGATGTACTCCGGTCCCACGATGGTGAAGGCGGCCGACCACAGAGCGGCGAGGAAGCCCTCGAACTGGCCTGTCTTGCCCGAGGAGCGGTATGCGGCGAATGCGCCAGGGTGGTTCCAGTACCGGAAGCCGTAGGCGTCGTGCTGCGGGTTGCCGCCGACCATGGTGATGAAGGTGAAGAAGATCAGGGTGAAGATCAGCAGGATCTTGCCGCTCGAGAGCCAGAATTCGGCCTCACCGTAGGCGCGGACGGCGAGGAAGTTGATCACCCTGTGTCAGGTGTTAGTGTCAGGCTCGTGGGGTCGAGGTGGGGATGCTGGTCGTGGTGGGTTAGTAGCAGTCTTGGAGGCTTCGGGGCGTACGTGTAAAGAGCAATGCAGGCGGCGCAGACTGCCGCCACGGGGATGTCGTTCCGCCAGTACCCCAAAACCAGGTTGATGGCGGTGATCTCGTAGGGGATCAACAGCGCCTCGTAGAAGAAGAAGTTCCAGCCCACCATGAACCCCAGAGCGTCGTCGACCCACTTGCCGGCCAGCCGGATGAAGCCGCCGGACACGGGCTGGAGGACCGTCATCTCCGCTACGCAGTTGTTGATACACGCGATTACGAGGGCGTAGAGGGTGTAGGCCACCAGTAGGCTGCCGGGGCCGCCGGTGGCGAGCCCGTTGCCGATGCTGATGAACAGGGCGGTGCCTATCGACCCTCCGATGGCGAGGAGTTGGGTTTGGCGATTGTTTAGTCGGCGCTGGAGGCCTTGTGGCGCGAGGGGTTCCACGGGGCAGGCCTGCACGTCGGCCTCGAGGGCTTCCTCAAGTTTGCGGTCTATCTTGTCTTCTGACATCTTGTGCTGCGCGGGGTGAGTTTTTGTTTCAAGGGGACTGGGTGCGGAGGACTCTTCGGTAAGAGGGGCACCAGAAACCCGTGCGCATAGCGGAGGTGTCCAGCATTATAAATTGCTTCGAGACCGGTCTGTATAGATTGCAGCGACGCCACACGTTTCTGGGAGATAAGCATATGCAAGGAGCCTCTGGGGTGGGGAAGCCGCAAACGGCGAGGCTAGGCCATCCCGAGATGGCTCTCATTTTCCATACCGCAATAGGTACAGTACTTCAACGGAGATAAATTGCTATCTTCAAAATCTCGAATTATTCACCATCTTCAGTAGATGACCCGCCGACTACATGGGCTGTGCAGAAAGTTAGATCGATTGATTGGTGAGATGAAGGTATCTTGTCCGTCCCCCTTTGGACGGATCTCATTACCCGATCGGCCTTAGCCCTAACCTGATGCCTTTCATTCCCCACTCCCAGAGTCTCCATGGTCTCCACTCTCGTAGAGAAACATCCGGAATTCTGGGGAAGGGCGTGCTGGCATCGAAATGACGTGTAACCAATGTTTACTTCCATCCCACATCCATGCGGGGGCATCAATCCTCACCATAAATCCTCACCATAAATCCTCACTTCCCTCCCGCCTCTCTCACACTGTTCTCGACAACCTCACCTCCACAAAATCCCCTCACACCGACCCAAAACAATGCCCCCCACACTCCCTACCACCCGGCGCGCCTTCCGCCGAACAGACGACTACACCCCCGGCACCGCCAAACTCTACGCCGTCGACGAACCCCTGCCGCCCCTAGGCCCAACTTCCGTGCTGATCAAAATCCACGCCATCGCCCTCAACTACCGCGACGCCAACATCGCCAACGGCGGGAACCCGTGGCCCGTCCTTCCGCACGGGATTCTGGGTAATGACGCCGCCGGGGAAGTCGTTGCCGCCGGCGACAAGGTCACCACCCTCGCCGTCGGCGACCGCGTCGCCCCCATCATCGACACGCAGTTCGTGTCCGGTCGGGAGCTGGGCCGCAGCTGGCTCGCGGCCGACGAGGACGGAGTCATGGCGGACCACGTCGTCTTCGACGAGCGGGTGGTCGTCAAGCTGCCGGCGTATCTGGACTGGATTAGTGCGGCGACGATCCCGTGCGCGGGCGTGACGGCGTGGTCTGCGCTCAAGGGGATGAGCATCGGGCAGACAGTGCTGATTCAGGGTTTGTGGTCTTTTGCGTAGTGGACTGGTGGGGATAACCGGGCTGACTGGTTTTGGGGGGTGTATAGGGACCGGCGGCGTGAGTGTCTTTGCGCTGAAGCTTGCGCGCGCGGCGGGCCTACGCGTGATCCTGACCTCGTCGAGCGATGAGAAGCTCGCAGCCATGCGGGAGAAGTATGCCGATCCGCCGTTGTTGACGGTGAACTACTCCAAGATTTCGGCGTGGGAGGAGGAGGTGCTCCGGTTGACGGACGGGGTGGGCGTGGACATTGTGGTGGAGAACGGGGGCACGCCCTCGCTTGTGCAGTCGATGAAGTGCACGCGGCGCGGTGGGATTGTCAGCCAGGTCGGGTATCTGGGGAAGCAAAAGGCGCAGGATCTGGCGGAGTTGGTGCCGGTTATTATCGATCGGCGGGTGGTTTTGAGGTGAGTGGGACCTTGGGGGGAAGTGGATGCGGAGGGATTGGCTAATTCGGTGGTAGGGGTATTAATGCCGGATCGAAGTTTGATACGGAGGACTTCTGTGCGGCGCTCGCGTCGACGCAAATTCGATTGGATGATCTGATTGACTCGGTGTTTCCGTTTGAGAAGGCAGAGGAGGCAGTCGAGTATATCTGGCAGGGGAAGCAGGTGGGCAAGATTGTGCTTCGTTTGTAGATTAGGGCTTCTGGCCAGAGTAAGTCAAGGAAGGTGAACGGAATACCATCGCTTGGATGCGGGTCTTGCCGGTCGCCAGTAAGCCTGGGACCGAGGCTCTAATCAATATCAAACTCCAAAAGAAACCTCTGACAACTCAACGTGTTCAGAGTCTATTCTAGCTACTAGTAATTCGGGCTCAGCCAAGGAAAAGTGAGTATCGGTGTAATTTTGTGTATATATTTCAAGCCCAACCGCACCGAAACAACTTTCAACAGTATCTCAGTACTGCGGTTGTCCAGACTTTTAGCTTGATAGTGCTCTCCAATACGGTTGGATACTCTCTTGCTGACCACAATGTTTTGTTTTGTGTCCTATAGGAGCGGTTCCTCCTGTAAATGATAAGCTTGTTCTAGCCCGATCCTTCGGCCACGGGGCTGTGCAGTATCAAAGCTACCACGGTGCGCATACTTTGTCCCGATTTCAAAATGTTGATAGTGATGCCTGACTCCAAAAACACGACGCTAATTTTGATCGTGCTACCCTATGCATGGAAACCACTCGGAAAGCCTACAACTGCAGAGAACTTCTGACGTTCCTGCATTGAACATCCATCTTCTCCTTGATCCCATTTCCAATACAATACGACGTGTTAACGTAATGTCAGACAGAATACAATGGGTCAACACTTATCCTCGTCTATACCAGAGCCTGCTAAGATTACGACCAACCCTCTCACGTGACCCAAGCCAACTATAACTTCTGCCTAGACCGCAACAACCATGCGCTCCAACCATCCACTCCCACCATCTTCACCGTCGCAACAATGGCCCTCCCCTCCAAGCTCATACTCTCCATCCTCGCAGCCCTGGCCCTAACAGCAATCCACCTCCTCAACACAATCCACCGCACCCTCCGCCGCCGCCGCCACCACGCCCGACAATATGGCTGCCGCCCCATCGCGCGGGCCTTCAACCGCGACCCGTTCCTAGGGCTCGACACCCTCCCCAGCATGATTCGGGCCATCCGCACCCACCGGATCCTCGCCCGTGGCCGCGAGCTCTTCGACCGCTACGGCCGTACTTTCACAACCCGCGAGCTGCAGCACCGGATCATCCTAACCATCGAGCCCGAGAACATAAAGACGGTGCTGTCGGTCAACTTCCAGGACTACGGGCTGCGCCACCGCACCGAACCCTTCCGCCCGCTGCTGGGCCAGGGCATCTTCAACAGCGACGGCGCGCACTGGGCGGCCTCGCGCGCCCTGCTGCGCCCCAGCTTCGCGCGCGACCAGGTCGTCGCCGATTTGGCGGTGCTGGAGGCGCTCTTCCAGGATTTGCTGGATGTCTTGCCGTGCGATGGGGCCACCGTGGATCTGCAGGAGTGGTTCTTCAAGTATACGATCGACTCCGCGACGGGGTTCTTGTTCGGAGAGTCGGTGCATACTCTCCGGACGCCGGTCAACCAGACCCAGGAAGACGAGGGGCAGGTTAGCTTCGCGGAGGCGTTCCAGTATGCCCAAAAGGCGGTGCTGGTGCGTGGGACCCTGGGCCGGTGGAATGCGTTGTACCGCGATCGCAAGGCCGATGAGTGTAACCGTCACTGTCGCGATTTTGTGCGCGTGTTTGTGGATGAGGCGGTTCGTGCGGTCGAGATGCGCAAGACTGATGACAGTTCAGGGGATGTGGACCGGGTGGAGGCGGGAAAGCCCAAGGGCAAGCGCATCTTCTCGCACGAGCTGGCGGCGCGCACGTCGGATAAAGAGCGCATTCTGGACGAGCTGATGGCGGTGCTTCTGGCCGGACGCGATACCACGGCCAGTCTGCTGGGGAATCTGTTCTTCATGCTCGCCAAATGTCCGGCGATCTGGGCGAGGCTGCGCCGCGAGGTGGAGGGCTTGCAGGGTCGTCCACCGAGCTATGAGGAGTTGCAGGGGTTGAAGTTTGTGGAGTGTTGTATCAAGGAGTGTACGTTGTTTCCCTTTGTTCGCTTCTTGTAGGACTACATCTAATTAAAAGTCCTCCAGCCCTCCGCCTCCACCCCGTCGTCCCCCGCAACCAACGCGAGGCCATCCGCGACACCGTCCTCCCCCTCGGCGGCGGGGATGACGGCCTCTCCCCCGCGTTCGTGCCCAAGGGCACGCTCGTCGGCTACAGCCTCTACGCCATGCACCGTCGCGCGGATCTCTACGGGGATGATGTCGACGACTTCCGCCCCGAGCGCTGGGAGGACGGCAAGCTCCAGCTGCGGCTGCGCTGGGGGTATCTGCCATTCAACGGCGGGCCGCGGATTTGCATCGGGCAGCGGTATGCCTTGACCGAGGCGAGCTACGTGCTAGTGCGCATGGTGCAGGAGTTTCGTGGACTGGAGAGTCGCGATCCCGGGCCGTGGGAGGAGAGTCGGGGGCTCACGCTGTGTTCGCGGAATGGGACACGCGTGGGGCTGGTTCGTTGATTTACGTGGGTGTTATCGTCGCCGTAATATAAGTCGTGTCACCTTGGTCTTTATCCTTTATAGGGAGTTAAACTCGGCCTGGTCTCCTCAAGCCTAGGGATGTAAGTCCGAGAGCCAGTGGTTGGGGGCATGATATAGTTGCTTGTACACTGATGGACTCGGAATCCGCAACGAGCGACTGCAATCCCGAGAGCTCGTGTTCACTACAACTTTGATTTTTCTAAGCAAAGTAAACATGTCTAAACCTGTTCAGGTATCAAGCCAACCAAATCCATGACGGAGGGATGTCCCGCCTCCCAACTATTTAAGAGCTCAGACACCTGCTCTGCCTGGGGATAGGTGAGATAGCTCATGAACTCGGCCTTCGGGCTTTGGCTTGCCTTGCATTTCGACACCAGTACATTTCCGTGACTCCAGCAGTCCCCGTGCCCCACGCCCCAGATCCTCGCAGATACTGTACAGTCGCTCCAAGACACTCGAGACACCACGTGTGGGCCGCAGCGTGCTGAAGACGTGTTCGAGGAGCTCGACGTCTTCCGTGCTCATCGTGGAGGTGGCATGGAGGAAGATCACGATGACCAGATCCTCTTGAGCGCGGGGATGGGCCTCGGCGCCCAGAATGTGATGCTCGTTGCGTCGGTCGCCGTGGCGCCGGTCGATATGCCCCTGGCGACGACGATTCTGACCTTTACGCAGACGCTGGCGAGTGCGGTGTTTTTGCCATTGGGGCAGAGCGTGTTTCAGAATGAGTTGCAAGGAAACCTGCGGGGAGTCTTGGGGGCTGGGGAGGTGAAGGCGATGCTGCAGGCCGGGGCGGTGGGGTTTCTCGGGGTGGTGCCGGAGAGTCAGATGGCGGGGGTGCTGGCGGCGTATAATGGAGCGGTTGTAAGGGCGTTCTATGTCGCGGTGGCTATGGCGGGGGTGTCGGCTTTTGGGCCGGTGGTGATGCGCTGCTTGCCTTTGACGGGTAAGAGGAAAGGGGATGGCAAAGGTGAGGAGAAAGGTCCGTGTGAGGGAAGAGAGGAGGGCGCTGGGAGTCTATCTGTCGGCGAAGACGAGAAGGGAATTGACGGTGGGGGACATACTGGTTTTATATATCCTATGGCAGATGTATATCTACGCTTGGAATAAGATGTTAGATGGTAGCGGCAATATACAGAGAAGGGATATCCATACCTAATCCCCCCTCCCTTTCAAAAGACCCAGTACTTCAAAGTCGTAACCCTAACTCACCCTCACAATCCCCGCGCAATCCTGCCAACCAACCCCTCCACCTCTTCCACCCCCAACTCTTTCACCCCCAACAACGCATTATCATCCCTCTCCCACGGATGCGCCAACTCCCGCGTAGCCACGCAATACTGAATCTGCACCTCAAACGTGGCCGCCGTCACCCCTCGCCCCTCCCTAAGATCTGCCACCGCCGCCTCCATCAACCCCCGCATATCCCTCTCACGCGTCTCCTCCCACCCCTCCGCCCCAAGCACCTTCCTCACCACCGTCACCAACTCCCTCTGAGACAAATACACCGAATGCACATACATAACCCGATCGCGCGTCTCCTGCGGGTGCAGCAGCACCGCCGCCGTGGCGCGACCCACATCCGCCAGCGTCGTCCAGGGGACGACGTTTTCCCCGTCCCCGAAGATTCGGATTTTCCGGGCGGTGAGGTCCAACCCTGCGAACCCAGAATCCAGAGCCCAGTCCAGGAAGACCCCGCAGGCGACGACGGTGTAGGTTAGTGTGGAGGCGGCGGTGGCGGCGTGGCGTTGCACGGCTTCGTAGGCAGCCTTTTTGCGGGCGAAGACGGGGAGGGCGTGGATTCCGGGATTGGTGGGGTCGAGGCCGAAGTCGCTTGTTATGCTGTTTGTTCTAGGGTGTTAGTTTGGGGGGAGAGGTTTGGGATAGTTTGATGGGGAGGTTGAAGGGTAGAGGGTGAAGGGTAAGGACGAACAAACGAGAGACGCCGGCTGCGGCGGCGGCGTCGATCAATTGGAGTGGGGTGTCGATGTCTGGGGAAAAGGTCGTGTCGATTACTGCGTCCTGGTTTGCTAGGGCTGCGGTGAGGGAGGCGGGAGAGGTGAAGTCCACTTGCTTGACGGTGGCTGCGGCGGGGAAGGGGGTTTGCGGTTGCGGTTGCAGGCTTGCGCGTCAGGATAGTGACGGTGAAGTTTTGGGCGAGCAGGGCGTTCAGCACTTGGCTGCCTACGTTGCCGCTGGCCTGGGGGTTGTTAGGTTGGGCGTTGGTTTTGGGGGGTTGCGGGGAGTTAGGGCTTACTCCTGCTAGGGCCACGTTCTTGATTGAGGACATTGGTTGGAATGGCAAACGTTGCTGTCTTGAATTTGCGAATGAAGTATGAGGATGAGAAGGCAGAGAAATGGATCCAATGGCGATATTTAGATATTCCTAGATCGCGGACATGGACGGAGATCGAGAATCAACAGGCAGACAGACCCGGTCTCCGGGCTAAGGCCGGGAACCCAACACGCTTATTGCCGTGATTCTCAGGGTCTTTGGCGCGTTCTGGATAAGGTCAAGCCACACGCCAGGGGATGGAGACCTGGCAACCAATTATTGCGGTAGGACCCGTGGGTGGATGATCGGATGTCAGATTTTAGTGAGACATCTCGTTTTGATTTGTAAGATAGATTCAAGTCCATATCATCCTTGTGCATCATTCCTACCTCGCTCTCCTCGTGGGAAAAAGCCCAAGAAAAAAGAGATACGGAACAGCTGGACCAGTCTATGACACATCTTCTCCCATACAAAGGCATATTTCTCAGCTCACGACTGCTCCAGCAATCTCCTCATGTAGATTTCCCTGGCCAGACTTCCACCACCGCTGCAAATATCCCACTCCCCAATCCCAAATCCCCGAGGAGCATGACGACACTTGCGCCCCCTCCTCCCGACAATCACATTCCCCGGTCGATACCCGTAATCGCCTTCATCCGCCTAATCGTTGCGCCGTGGAACTTCGCATCTAGCGGCGTATCGCGCGGGGCGCCGCGGTGCGGCGGCCAGTGAACCAGCACCCACCGGCCGTCCTTCTGCATCGCTGCCCGCGGGATGGGAATCCACTCCATGAACCGCCACATCCAGGCCGTCGCCCGCGAGATCCCGTCGCCAGCATCCAGCGGCGAATGCAGTAGTCCCTGCGTGCAGGACTCGACCAGTGTAGCCTGAAATTGCGACGACTCCTCCCCAAGCCCCTCCTCCTTCAAAACCCCCAATTCCCGCATCTTCCCGCGATTCAAGCGCAATCCAGCCCGCTGCGCCTCCTGCACCATCCACACAAGCGAGACATGGCTTAGCTGCGTGCGCTCCTGCGGTCCACGCGGGAACCCGCCCCCGATATCAGCATGGATTACCGGGGAACCAGACCTCCTCGAAATCCTGGGCATCATCATCACCATCACCACCACCCAGCGCACCGAACATTCCGTTAACCCTCTGCCCCCGTTCCTCCCGCCTATGAACCCTTAAATACGCACCAGCCTTCTCCTGCGACTCAGCCGTCTGATACCGCGTCAGCTTCAGCCGCGAGAACGCCGCCCACACCAACGGGATCATCTCCTCGTTGTCCGGGCCCAGCAAGCCCGCCGCGTCCAGCCACTGCGTGGGGAGGGACTGGGTCTAAAGTATGTGTGACGAACGACGATCATCGTTCGCCAGCCCCTCCCCGCCGTCAATCCCTGCGGCTTTTGGTTAGGCTCGTCTCCTGCGGCACAGGTTCATTGGTGTTTATCGTCGATTCCGATGCGCGTCCAATTTGACAGCGGGGCAGCTAAACGTGCTTTGGCTGAGGGGTGGGTGTCGATCACCTCGATGGCTAGCCGTTCCATGCACGAGTGGTCCGGAGGGGGTTGATGTGCTGATGCTGAGATCTGTGCTGCTATGGACTACATCCCTGGTGCGATTCGCAGCACACGCACATCTTGGGCAAGGAAGATTAATACGTCAAGAAATGCAGCAGGCCCTTGACGCTAAATCCTTCGACATTCATTATCATTTTGGAGGCAATCGGAAAAGTATACAACTGCTGCCAATGTGTAGTGGTAGTGGCTGAGCTCTGAACTCATCAATAGCACCTGACCAGATGAAGCCCTACATTACCCTACAGCCCAGGCATACTTTCCACCCAACCCTACTACCCACTACCAATTATATTCCACCAGGCGCAGTGCGCAGTGCGACGTGCAATGCGTATATGCTACATCCCGTGCGCATTATCTGTCAACCGCAGTTTCCTCTCGACCACCGCAAGTAATAAGCTGGATTCGCAAGGTAGAGGAAGAATTAGACCACAAACTAACACAGCTTCGTTCCCTTCGTCGCCACACGGGACAAGAACCGCAAGAGAACAGAGAGTGTACTGGTATTGACATTAATTCACCTGAGAGAAACAAGCCGATTGGCCAGCAAAGTTATGTAGATGAAGGTCTTCATCACCAAATCAATGTGGTGGCATCGTCAGAATCCGTTACTCTTCACTACTCTCCTATTCCTGAAAGGAAAATGTAAAGCCACCAGTCGGGTTCTGACCTCTACCGCATTACATGGACATCCCAGTCCCAGAACTAATCCGAGCATCTAGCTCAATCCCCCAACCACACACTTCACAGTAAATGAAAACCGCCCCTAAGAGACCGGTAACCTCCACCACTAACCTATTTCTCTAGCGCGACCCTGCCACAGAACCAGACCCATGAGCCTCAAGACGAAATTCCCTCTATTCATCCTGCACCAATCCTCTATAGACAAAGACCACACGATCCCTGCTGGAGATATTTGCCTACTTAGCTGATCATATACAGCAGAACCTGAAGTGGCACTCTCCCCTATGCTCAAACACCTCCTCTCACTGTTCTCTCACACACAAGAGGGTAACTCTCCCTCACCAACAATGACCTTGCAAAGATCCTCCGTTCCAGATCCCGCAAAGCAACCTCACCTAACCCTTAAACCAGAAAGTCTGCACCAAGACCTCATGTATTTAAGAGCACCAACGATATGTCTCCCACCGCGTCCTCTTCTCTCACTTTCATATCCCATCCCCTCAACCAAAAACCCACTCGAATTGTGCGCACGCTGCACCTGATCTAAACATCCAAAAGTCAAGCAAAGGAAAAAAAAAAAAAAAAAAAAAAAAAAAAAAAAAAGAAAACAGCACGGTAAGAGGAACCATGTCCGACGACGAGGCCAGCGCAAGCGCCGAGTACCACGCTGAATACCACCCGCATCTGCGGGAGGCAGCAGCGTACACGGCCGAGGAACTGAGGCGGCGAGCGTTCGAGGTGCGCCAGATCCGCGGCGCGGACGCCGCCGGCCTCGAATGTTGCCTGCCCGAGGCGCCGCGCAGCAATCGGACGCGGCCGGACCAGGAGCAGTGTCCGATGTGCCAGGCGAGCTGCCACCCGAGCTGCCTGGACCAGCTGCGCAACGAGGAGATGCGCCGCGGGCGGCCGCTGGTATACGGCTGCCCGCGGTGCGGCACCCTGTGGCGCACCGACGGCAGGGCGAGGTTTCTGATTGGCACAGCTATCTTGGACCCTGTGGCGATTCCGTTGCGCAAGATAAGCACAATCCCAGCTGATACGCACAGAAATCATGATCTTCTCTGCATAAGCCAAGGACATAGTGGCAAGCCACTCTCCGCAAAACCAATTCCCTCGTCAAGTATGATAGTATACGGGCCTATAGACTATAGGCAAGTCTCTTGGTAACTACATAACTGCCCAGCCGCCTACCTACACCAGGAATCCTGCTCAAGTGGCCAGCCACTATACCCTTCTGTCATCTGCATCACTGGATCGGTATTTGTTGCAAGGTATATCGAGGGTCCGTGAACATTCGATTTGCAGACAGCATCGTCATGTCTAGAAACAGCCGGTCAATCAAAGTCAGTCATGCCTACAACCAGCCTTCCCTCTAAGTTCACTTGCCCTAAATACAACACAAAAAGAATGATACCAAAAACCCCACATTGCCGTTAATATATCCAAATCCTACCCCACACACCCCCGTGTCTATAAACCACAAGATAAATAAAGTGAAACTACAGCATGTCTCATCTGATCCCCACAAAGTTATCCCCAAATCAACAAGCACCTGACATCAAACCAAGGATTTCTACTTTTGCTCCAAGGTTCCTATCCTTTTTCCGACACAGAAAGGCCTAGGAAACCCTCACCCATCATCTCTACACTTCACGCATCATCAGAACCAGTCCAACCAAGTCAACTATCCACCATCCCCATGCCACGCACTCCACTACATCTGAGACTTCCCCAGAACCAGTCTGCTCCTCGGGCTTCACAAGCATTAACCCCCCGTCCAGATTTTCCACCGGGAGCGGAAATCTCCTACAAAGGCAACCCTCCAAGCCTTCATACCTACAGCCTTCTATTATGCTACGCTGATACTTAGACAGACATAACAACCACACGGTCTCTGCGGAAGAGAATCGCCTGTCCCGCTGGCCCGAGGACAACAGTGCTGTACTGTACATACAGCTCTCTAGCCCCAGCATTCACCCTTACGACCACAAGCCCCTTCCTCGAAACAGATACAGATGCATACAGGTTCCGTGCTTCAACTTCAACTTGACAAAAACAACCCCATTCCATTGAGCCTCAGGAGGAGATGGCGTTGTCCTTTTCTAACCCGAATGCCTCCTTCTATTGCCTCTAAGCACAGAACAACAAAGGTAATTCTCCATCTAGCCAACAATGAACGGACGAAACTGTCCCGTTCCAGCTCCTACACAGCCTTGATCTACCCTAGACCATCCCTCAGAGAAAGGATATCTGCATCGAGGCCTCGAGTACTTAAAGAGATCCACGCGACATGCCCCCATCCCCCAGCCTCATCACCCGCTCCCTCCACACCCTTCTCACGATCCAAACCCTGCTATCAGCCTCAATCAATAGTCTACTCAGATTGTGAGCGAACGCATAATCTAACACGACCAGACGTGAGATAGATAGCCATGCCGCGCGAGAGGAAGCGACTAATCCCGACGGACGACCTCCGCCACCGCTACAACCATGCCCTCCTGACAGCCGCCGAGTACCCGACCGACTACATCCCGGAGCACGCGGAGCAGGTGCGGTTCATTCTGGCGGAGTCCGCCGGCGAGATAGAATGCTGCCTGTGCGACATGGAGAAGTACCAGAACGTGGAGCAGTGCCCGCGGTGCCAGGCGACGAGCCATGTGAACTGCCTGGACCTGCTGCGCAACCACGAGCGGCGGCACGGCCGGCCGCTGGCGTACGGCTGCCCGGAGTGTGGCGTGCTGTGGCGCGCGCCGGAGGAGCGCGCCGCCATCGCCGCCGAATGCAACGATCGGCGGCGGAGGACCACCATCGGGCCCCGGACCACCTATCGCTACCAGCACGACGAGATCAGCGGGCGGCTCATCTGCGCCTTCGTCCGGCCGTCCACGGGCCGGATCTGTGGGGAGAGCTACTACATACACCAGCAGGTGCGGCGCCATCACGAGCGGGACCACGAGGAACGCACAGTCTCCTGCGACTGCGGCCTGGGATCGGCCGCGCCCGGCGACGGCCAGCCGGACCCGTCTTCCTGCTTCTGCCCCGTCTGCGGCGGGGAGTTTCTGTGCCGCCATGCGGCCGCCGCGCATTGCTGGGACCAGCATCGGGATCAGCACTGGCCTCCCACGTGTCAACTCTGCCGAACCAAGTTCGACAAATACCTCGACCTTGTTGTTCATCTTTCGAATCACCACCAGAATCTCGAACCTGCTTAGTCAACAACCCAGGTCTCGGTATCACACCAGTGAGGAAGGGGCAGCAGTCCGTCTGTAGCTAACACCTAGATTTTTCTTGAGTTTCAGGCATTATCTTGAGAAGCACATAGAAGAGAAATAATCGGAGTTATGGGGCTGGAACCCCAATTTAAAGTTGTTTTGTTTCATTATTATAAAGTTTGCGGTATAGTCTTTCCATCTGCAGGACAGTTATGATGGATTGTTGAACAAGCGGTAGATGGGGCCGTATTCGTCCCGTGAGATCAGACATCCTCTGTGCGAGACTGAGCATCCGCGAGCTATGCAGGGTAGACTTTGGGAGTTTCCATGAGTGACCGTTGGCGAAGTAGTCGGCCACTTAGAGGCATATCACCTTCGAAAGCATGGTATAACCCCTTTACATTCCTGCTTTAATATTAGTCTCGCTTTCTAGTTCCAGTCAATAAGGTAAAAAATCTCACTTGTTGGCCGAGGAAGCCGTCATGCAAAATCGCTGAGCATTTGCATTTCCATCTTCTCACTGCTCTGGCGTTCAAATTGGTGGATCGACCTTCTCATTCAAGGCATGGTGGCCCGAGCGGACTGCACATCAAAGCTTCTTATTATTGTGTTTCCGGGACAAACGGCTTGCTGCCGAGGCCCGCCTCCTGCTTGACAGCCTCTAACCACAAGGGGTCATAATCCGCATATGTCTGATCCAACGGGTCATTCCCACCGTAGGAAAATTGACGAGCCACTTGCTGTAGCCTCTCGTCCGTGGGACAGATGCCAGCGGCAGTCTCACTATGAATGTAATCTATCAGGGCGCGACGTAAATCCGTGTAGCGGTTAAAGGCATTGGGAATGTCATTCCCGATCGACATGTAGGAAAAACCCAGTGTGTCCTCCTGTTCGGGAACGCTGCCTTCCAGCAGCGCAACGGACGATTTCCAAGGGTCCATTGTGCGCCGTTCGTGACCCAAAAGATAGGGCGGCATGGCATTCTCAACCAACCGTTGCACGTCTGGCGCAAACCCCCAATCACCCTTCCACTCCGCCATATCGGCGCCATTCTTGAAATGGGCTCCAACATGATCCGCGCGCTCTTTCCAGGTTGCAAAGGTCGCGTCACAGAGCCCGCAGCGGGAGACAATGGTGCGCGATGCTCGCCATCCATCCATGATGCCGGAATGATACTCCGCACTGTGCGTGAGTTTCAAGTGCTGCCGTAGATGGTCTTTGCGGGAAAACGTCCGTTGCCCGTCTGCCCTAGATTGGCAAGCAAAATAGTCGTGTCGGTCGAGAAGATGACCAGTCTCCGGGTCTGGGGCCTGACAGAACACACAAGTCCGGGTTCCATCGACAGCAACGATGCCACCGTCGGGGGCGCACCTCCATAGGTCCACAGGCAGATGCAAAGTCTTTTCATGTCGCTCCCAGTCATACTTCGCGCGGAAAGAGTCGGTGCAGAATGTGCACTGGTACGGACGGTCTTCCCTCGTTTGGCGATGTGCTTGGAAATCGTTGGGACGTGGAGGCTTCTGACGACGGCGATGGCGACGACCAGACAGAGATAGCCGACCATTCATGGGAGTTGGCGGTCGTCGCACAGGCTGATAGTGTGTGTGGTGGCCCAAGGAAGCATCGGAGCCCGATGAATGGCTATAACCCAGCGTGCTGATAGATGGAGCTCCGACGACAAACGAGCTACTGGAACTATGGCTCGACCAAGCATATTGAGACGCCGGGTCTCCTGCACTCTCCTCATCCTCATCCGGATGTTCTATGCTATCCAAAGCTCGCATTATATCCGAGGTCGCAGCCGCCTCACTGCCTGGCGGGGAATTCTTCCATCTTTCCATGGGCGATTGTAGAGAGTGATCAGCCGCTGGTGCCGGTTGTCCGACTGCCTGGGACGCACTTCCTCTGACCAAGGTGCGCCGTCGTGCATTGCTAAACCAGTCGGATATCTGAGCTTGGTGGAGTCCCGTCTGCTGGTGCAGGGCATCTTTTTCCTCCTTGGTGGGGTAGGGATAGTCTTGATGGTTGTAGAGCCATGACCGCAAGGCTGTCACCGCTTCCTTCGATAGGCGGTGGTATTTCTTCTTCCTTCTCGAGCGACCTCCAGAAGATCTGAAATCATCTGCCGCGTGGGAATCATTCGAAGCCGCGATATCGTGGGAAATGTGGAGAAACTGTCCTGCTTCCGGTGCGCTTTGCGCGAAGTTGGTGTCGCTGAAGAGCTCCCAGCATGAACAGGCTGAAGCCAATGAAACATGCTCATAACAAACCGGGCATATCTCGAATGGACCTGCCGGGGGCAGAGATGCCGTAGGGAAACTTAAGTTGGCACTTAGCAGGGAATCGTATAAGTGCAGGGATGCTTCAGACTCCGCAACGGACACTGGGGGATCTAAAGGCGGTAGGTCTAGAACATCAGAACAGTATTTAGGAGGACCGCTTAGATCCTCCGCCATGTGAAAGGAAAGTGGGAGATAGAGCCGGATGATGATGATGATGATGATGATGATGATGATGAAGAATTGAAAGGCGGAAGGCGTGAGTCTAACGCGTTACCCGAACATCCAGTGGGGCACCGGCGCCCTGTGTCACTCCATGGTGGGGATCTCCCGACACGGTTAGTCCGGAGGTTGCAGATCGGTTGTGGCCTCCGAGCCACCCCGCCAAAGCATATGGATTATATAAGCAGGACCGGCTGGGGGTCTTTGGAGGTGCATGGAGGTGCATGGAGGCGTATGGAGGTGTATGGAGGTGTATGGAGGTGTATGGAGGTGCTTGGAGTGCTTGGAAGATAAGAGTCTCTCAATCTTTAAGACTTGAGGAAGGATGAGAGTCTCCATCCACCTCAAAAGCAGCTACCAGCTATCCGTCACGGCTTGATAACCAGCTGTATTATACAGTCACCGTCCACACAAGCAATCACCGAGAAACCTACCTGGAGTCCCGTGACAGCATCATGGCTGCTACATTGTGCCCCCAAGCAATTGACATCATCCTCTCTCCCTACCACGTCGGCCTGCGCGACCACCGCGTCGGCAACGGTCCCCACCGCATCCTCTCCCTGGGACTCCAGCAAGAACTCCACCGCCTGGGTGTCGCTTTCCATCTCATCGAGATCCCACCCGTCAACGAGTTCGAAGGCGAGATAGGGCGCAGCTTCGAGCTCCTGCGCCGGATCTCGACCGCCGTTAGCCAGTCGGTGGCCAACCGCCGCTTCCCCCTGATCCTGTCGGGTAACTGCATGGCCAGCGCCGCGGTCGCCTGTGGGCTGCAAGTGGACGACCTGGCCTACGTCTATTTCGACGCCCACGACGATCTAGACTCGCCGGACGTGAACGAAAATGGTTATCTAGATGCCATGGGCCTGTCCATGCTGCGTGGGGAGAGCTGGAAGACCCTGATGAACAGCGTGCCTGGGTTCAAGCCGGTGGACCTCAATCGGCGGTTCCTGTATTGCGGGCTCCGAGATCAGACCAGAGTGCAGAAGCAGCGGGTGATCGAGGCGGGCATGCAGGCCATCTGGGGGAGCACAGAGAGCAAAGTCGATTTCGCGAGGGAGCTGAAGACCCAGCTGGAGCAACGAGCGTACGGCCAGGTGTTGGTTCATCTGGATCTAGATGTCTTGGATGACTCGTATGGCAAAGTCAATGACTACCCATCTCCAGGTGGCTTATTTGAATCGGATCTGATCGCTTGCATGGAACTGGTTCCGCAGAAGACGACCCCTCGGTCGCTGACCGTATGTTCTTTTGATCCGGATGCAGGCGACGGTGACAAGATTGCTGAAATTGCAGTTGGAGCAATTATAGCCCTTGTTCAATCTCTTCTGGACACAGGAGCTCTATCCAAGATCTGAAGCACGCACGCAGCCGCAGCAAATCCTGCAGGGACTTTGACCCGGATACTTTCCACATATGCTGGCACCACAAGACAGAGCTGGAATTGAAGGGAACCGTGCTCCTGAATACAGAAGAAAGAATCAGGCAGGTTGTTGCGAAAGGAAAACTAGCCACTGTAGATATCCCAACAGAGTTTTATATCATTGTCCAAATAATATCATCAAAAAATTGTATCCAGGTAACAAACGCCAATAGTATAGAAAGCCAATCGTGTTGCCATGGCATGAAAACATCACAAAATTCCAACGGTGGTGTATATAAAGCACCCAGCGGAATTGTACCAACATACAGAACAAAAAAGTCCAGCTTTTCGTTAAGAGTTTTCGGGGAGCAGCCGTGAGGTGGATCATCGGCCAGGCCGTTCCGCGACTGGTTAGTATATTTTCAGCAGTTCAAGGGCAATTCATGTAGTCGTTGCCCGCATGCACGGTCATTCTTGTGTCTTGATGGTCATGTCATTGTACCGTAACTTGAGTTTCCACGAACCCTCAAAAGCCATTATTCGTAACATCCGTAAAACATAAAGTTGTCAAAAGAGCGCAGCGGAGGCGCCCATTCGAATCATGAAGATCACCTAAAATCAAGTTGGAAGGCTTTCCATTTGCCTCCGACCGTGCGGCATCGAGGACAGCCGCGCGGGTGGTTAGGATAGCTGGTCGGCCCGTGCGACATCGCGCTCCCTGGGCTGGACGTCACATTCCGGAAGGATGCAGGGGGGCTGGTGATGAACATCCCGACACACTCCCGGCAAACTCCGCAGATACATTCCGTGCAGGCATAGCATTCACTCAGTGCCCAAGGCCGCTTACAGCTGGCACAGTAGATCTGAATCTCTTTGCTACGGTAAGAGGCCGGGGTGGGATTTGAGAACCGATGGTGTTGCCGTTGCGACGCAGAGGGAAACATATTCAACACTGGGCTGAAATCCGAGTTGATCGAAGGCGCGAGGTGACTGGAGAAGGAATGATTCTTGCCCGACGTCGACGAAGCCGAGTCAATGGACGACTCGATGGACGGGAATGGCTCCAAGTCACTGTCGCGGTTGCGATCAAATGGCGGCGGGGTCATGGACTTGTGCATAGGCGACGCGAAGGGGTGGGGGAAAGGCCGGTAGGATGTCGGGTGGGGTAGTCCAGTGGGAGTTTGGAATGCGGGTGGTAGCGAAGAACGGTTGTTACCCGCAGGAGCCGAGGTGATGTTGGAGATGAGAGGCGGCATCGTAGGCGACCGGCCGACCTAGTAAGAGTTAGAAACGTAACCCGCGAGAATCCCAAGATCAACTTACATCAGACTGGTGTTCGTCATCTGCTTCTGTCGCGGAAGTAGCAGCCTCTATGAGGTCCTCCCAACGCTTACCCTGCGCCCAAGCTGCAGTTTGTGGCTCGGCAGAAAGCGCCTTGCGATCTCCTAGACTCGGACGTCGTCCGTATTCCTTCGATTTAGTGCGCTCGTGTTTCGGCTTGCGGGCCCCAGAGATCGACGACTTGCGAGATCGAGGCAGCTTGTCCCTACGTTGGATGGGAGGCAACGTCGAAGAGCGCCCGGGCGGCGAGTGTGTCAAAATGGAAGGCAGGAGCTCTCGAGGGCGAGCCGCGGGAAATGGAGGCAATGACTCTTGTTTGAAATGCTCGCGCAGTGACGGCAATTCGACGGAGCGGATCCGGTCCCGGTCATTGTCCGATTGGGTTTCCTGAGACGGACCAGTCAATGTCTGATTTTTTCGCAACCGCTTTTTCTCCCTGCTTAATCCGCAAACGAGTAGTCTGTATAGCATACCATGTCTGTATCCCAGTCAGATGCTAAGCGGTTGTGGTGCAATTGGGCCAAGGCGACGGCTGCGGTGGCAGCGGCCGGATGGGCTTCATCGATACCCCGCGGGGTTGCGGGGGAGCCAGCATCGGCAACATAAATGTCGCGATCAGCCAGATCTACTTCCCAGTCAGCTGCTGAATATCCCCAATCTGCCCAAGAGTATCAACCAACCATTGCGCCGTCGAGAAGTAGCGGGTTTCGGGGGAGACAGGTGAGCACGCTGGTCGGGTGGGGTTGTCACCATCAAGATAAAGCTCTCCTCGGTAGCCGGGAGCTTCGGAATGTAATGGTTGGGGTGAGCACGGCGAATGTGCTCCTGCATGGAGCGATAACGCTTTTCCTGTGCAAAGAACAACCGGTTAGATGCGGCCATGACAGTCTCGTTTATCCCAGCTCGTCCCTTTTTCTCGAATTTCGCAGCAGCTGCCCCTCCTCATTTTGCATGGCGCTTGCTGTCCACTGCATAAAAAAGTGGGGCCCCGATCGGCGGGGAGAGCGAGGAAGAAGCACGGCGACGAAGAACACAAAGAGATAGAAGAATAGAAACTTACTCCCAGACATCTCTTGCGACAATTGGAACCATCATTGTTTTTCAAAGGGCAAACCACTTCGTTATTGGCGTCAGTGACAGAGAACGAACTAGTTAAAGATGATCGGGGCGGCATGGTCTGCATGGATCCGTTCGGGCGGCGGCGTGGGGTGGGTTGGTCGGAAGGAGGTTCAAGCACCAGCACACACAAGGCAAGGCACACAGGCTGTGATTTTCAGGGCAATGTCAATTCAATCTGGAAGATCTCCGCAAGGCGACATCAGCTGCTGCGACCAGAAAAAAAAACCCAGCAGATTGTTTGCAGAAGCTCGAGCAAGTCTAGTCAACTGGAGAGGCGAAACGGGATGATGGAAGAAAGAGAACAACGGAGGGCGGCGAAAGAAAGAAAAAGAGTATTGCAACAGTATGAGTAATGGCCAAGCGGACGCCTGCTAGACTACCACTTGCTCTAGCTTCTATTTCCAAGACCAGTAAGTAGCACTGATAGTTGGATCAACGGAGAATGGGGGTCGAACTAATGCAATCAATCTCTCATAGAGCAGAAGCAGCAGCAGCAGCAGCAAGAAGAAGGGAAGGGATGAAGAAAGTAGTAGTAGTAGGCAAGCAGGTAAGGTAGTAAGTATGGGAAGCAGCACTACAAGCAGTGGCAGTGGAGGGGGAGAAAGTCAAGGAGCTTCACTGATCCACTAGGCCTAAAACAGGCTAGTGGCACACAGTCTGGACAATTGACAGGCAAAGGATTGGGGGAGAGCAAATATCCACTTTAAGCAAAAGGAGAAAGAGTCCAAAAAAGAAATCAGAAAAAGGGAATTGAAAAAAAGAAGGAAAATTGAGAAGGAAAGGCGAAAAAAGTGGGAACGGAAGGTATTGCAGTGGTACAGTCAGTAATCATACGTACAGTAAGTAATGAAAAGCTAAATCGAACAGGCGAAACAGATGGCAAATGCTTTGCTAGCTACGGAAGTTCTAGGTAGCTACCGAGCTAACAGAGCAGGGCAGAGCAGTGCTTGCGCTTGCAATGGGCGCAATGCTGGTTTCTCCGACCGCGTGGCTCACAGAGCGCTTGTGTTCGCCGAGAGGGTGGTTGTCCAGGATTAATGAACAATCCAGAAAACCCACGGAGCCGGCGATAAGTGGAACAAAGAAGGTTCCCTTTCGGTGGATTTGTTGTCAAACCCTCGATAAAGGTGGGATAAGCGTCTCACAGATGCTCTGTCGGTGGCACGATAAGCATTTCAAGTTCCGGACCGTGGGAAGGATAATCACAAGAAAGCAAGAGAATGAAGATGAGGAGAAATCGAGAAGAGGAAGAGAGAGGCAAAAGAGAACTCGGACGAAATCATTAATATACCAGTCACTACCTTATGCGTTGTTTCTGAATGTCTAGCTTATAGCAAACCAATACACATCCAGAGGAAGCTGCTGTTGCTGCTGGGCGAGGTTTAAAGTGGAACTACGATAAAAAGCTCCAGCTGGATAAGCAGGAAAGCTCCCTTCCTCATACTACGGTAGCAGCTCTCGGCGGCATTACTTTTCCTCTAGTAGTCTGCTGTCTGACTAGCTGACTGGAATCTCATTCGAGCAATCCCCTATGAGGCATTAATTTTGTTTTATTATCGCCCTGGTAATGCCGGTAGTACAGCATGTGCCAACAATGATCCTGGTATTGAGTACTAGCTATGTATTACGATTTCCTCCCCGTCCGAGACTAGCTGGACGCCAGAGGGTATCTGATGCCGATAGCGCCTATCGATAAGTGTTGCTGTCGCAGCTAAGCTAAATGTGGGACAGCGCGATATCCGCACGCACGACATGGATGGATGGGGGAAGTTTCTGTCTGTCTTGTCGCGGAAATTACCAGTCTCGAGCTGGGATGCTCGATCCGAAGCTTCGACCTGCTCCTTATTTTTCTTTCTGCTGTTGTAACGGCAAACAAAGGGGAGCGGTTGTTCTCCGACAAGCATGAGTTCCAGTCGAGTCGAGTCAAGTCAAAGTCGAAAGGGCCTTTGCCCGCCTGATAGTAAATGCGTGGGTGAGGGTAAGTGATGTGACACTTAGACTTTTTCTGTAGCTCAGCCTCGGTCTTCGTGACTATTACCTGACCGTACCGGAGCTCAAGGATGAGCAGCAGGAACCCCTCTGAATGGCCTCTGCCGTTCCGATTTTGCCCATTTTCAAGCATTGGCAGTTGGCACAAGACATAGACTTCATATATTCAGAGGACTCGCAAAGCACTAACTCATCACTCGTGATCCGTGCGATTCAACCCCAAAGTTTTTGCTTTTCTCCTTTTACACTCTGAAGCGAAGAGAGTTAGTTTAAGATCCATGACATGGTCCAGCTGGTCTAAAAATTTCCACCAGCCATCGTCGGTCGACGGCCCGGTTACTTGGAACGGGTCTAGCGGAAATTAGCATACGGTACAGTACGGTACAATACAGTAATCGCCGACCAGCAATTCGGGAATGCCGGTGGAACCCCCCTCCTCACATTCTTGGGGTTTACGACAGCTACTGCATAACCCGGCCCAGCTCAGCTCTGGACCAGAGAGAGCATAACTCAGGATGCTGGAACCACGGGGGAAAGAGAGAGTAATCTTATCGAGGTCACCAACCACGGATAAACTATCTAGTCGACGATCCATGGTGATAGAGGTTACAGAAGATTCCCTCTGACTTCCACGGAGAACTCCCGTCCAAGTAAAGTGTAGTGTAGTTGGAGGTAACCCTACAGCCCAGGGTAGTTCCTTAGTACTACTAGGTCCTACTAGGTCCTAGGTAAGGTATGCTTAAGGAAAAGCACCGCGTGGTTGGGTAAAGGATCAAATGGTGAACCGATAGGCTAAAAAAGGCCATGTGCTGCAACCTTGGCCTGGAGTACTTTTACCCCTCCCCTCGCAGGCTGAATGAATCCAATCAATCGCATCTCCCCTCCCTCTTTCACCTATCCTTCCCCTCTCTTCCCCTCCATCCCCCTCCCACACACATCCCTTCCAGCTGGAGGCTTCCGCTCTTTCTCCCCCCTCCCAACACTAAAACCAGCTTACCACCCCCCATACAGCTCCCCAAGGGGGAGTAGTCTAGTAAAGTGAGCTTCCCATGCATCTCGACCCGGAAGCTCACCCAGCTGCGAGCTTTGTCTGGTAGCTGCCTAAGCCCGAAACGGTTAAGACGACACAAAAGATGTAGGTAGTGGCAAACCCAGTTTAGCTCGAACGCCACTCCAATTCCTTATTCCCGTCTCAGTGGGGCTCTCGAAACGGTACCTTAGCCCAGTGAGAAAAAAAAAAAAAGAAAAGAAACAAAACACAAGCAAAAGATGAAGGAAGAAAATTTTCATTCTTCTCGAAACACACAACATGGCCACTTCTTGCTGATCCCATGGATTCAGGGGGATGTCGCCCCCTTTTGGCGGAGGATAACGTGAGCAACTACGTGGAAAGGTCCGAATTGTGTCCTCCCTCGGGAAAATATATACATACATACAGGGTAGGGCAGGACTTACTACCGACGTTCAGAACTTGTGCTTGTGCACAATTGACTACTACAGTCAAGGGACAAGTTCAACGGCTGAGAAAAGTAGCGTTGCCCCCCTCACCCCCTTCGGGCTCATACCTAAGCTATGGCTATCTGCCCCGGTGGAAAGGGAGGTGGGATACATGCCCAATTCACCATTTAAGCGAAAAAAAAAAAAAACAAAAAAAAAACGGGTTTGGCCGTGTATTTCCCGTGTGGTTTGGTGGGTGCGACGGAGCTACTGGTGCTACTGCTACATGAATCATTGGAACAGTGCTTGGACTGCCAGGAGTGTACATAAAAGACAGGTCTTGTCGTTCATTTGATCCCTGGACGGTCTTCCTGGCTCTGTTGTTCGGTCGGTCTTGCCTTAGTCCGAGTACGGGAGCTCGAACTAGTCCAGTTGACGCACGCGGGAAATCGACTCTTTCATTATCAAGGATGTAAGACAGGAGGAGTTGATATGAGGGGTTGGGGGGGGGGCTTGCTTAGCTTGAACATAGTCGGTCGGGGTAAGACCTTGACTGATGTGGTAGGCCGTCGAGTCACGATACGGGAGCTCAGAAGCGTCCGACACTCAATCATATACGTATACTACTAGTTTGTAGGATGTATTTGTCGTTGTCGTCGTCGTTGTTGTCAGCCGTGCTCAATTAGCAACACAGCCTACAAGTATGATATTCCAAGCAGATCCGTATTGGCATCCTCTTCGGTTGGTTCACACCGACATCACCATCTACACTGTTGTATTGCGGAGGAAGAGCTATTCTTGGAAAAGCAGTGCAATTGTCAGCCCGCACAAAAAGCATCGGGTGAGGGGCGCACTGATCGCCGCTAAAACCACAGCACTACCGAGCTCCAAAGAGTGCACTCAAATAATAAGGGATTAGGTGGGATTGAAAAGGCAGCTGATTCTGGTTTGCGTTGCATGGGCGGTCGGATGAGGTTCTGCTGGATCTGCCCCGGTCCTTGCATGCTTGCAGAGAACGCAGCGAATGCGATTTCTGGAGTTGTGTGCAGGATGAGACTCCCTCGCAGGAAATTCATGCATCACTGCCAGTCAGCGAAGGACGAGCAAGTACCGAGTACTGTACCTCCAGCGAGCAGCCTGCATGGTGGCGCCAACATATATTCCACGGTGCTGACCTTCTCGAAAGGGAAGAAACACACAAAGCAGAGAGACAACTGCAGGCACTGCAGGGCAGGTCGCAGCTGGTCAGTTGCCTCTCCGGGCAAGGTGCAGGTGAAGAAAAGCAGCATGATTGGCAGGGCAATTTGATGGAGAAAACCTGGCTGGTATCCAATGAATGGGCAGGGTTTCAGGAAATTTCAATTCAAAGACATTTTCCCGTCCACTGCCTCTCGGGCGATAAAGTCATTGATTTGATTTGATTTGATTGAATCGGGTTGATTGAATTGGAGTTCCCCCACTTCGGCTGGGCTGTGCGGCCTGCTGTTGCTGTACCGGCACTCTTGCTTAGCCGTAGTGCGCACACAGTGCCAAGACAACTGAGCGGTCACGAGCAAAAAAGAACTGGAAAGGCAAGGATGCCATCCATGGGCTTGGCGGTCTTGAGGCTCGCTTTTCACACAGTGTGGTTAAGTCTTGGCCATGGGGAGCTGTGTGTCAATCCGGGGTATACGCGTGTAAGGGACTGAGAGCTACCAACCTCCTTGCCTACCTGCCTGTCTCAAAGCTCGCCACATGACAGTTGTGTCTTGTACTGTACTGATAGCTTCACTGTAGAGGATCATGCCCCAATTTCGGCTATCGGCAATGCACCCAACTGTTACACAACAGAGGTTGGGACTTATACTGCAAGGCAAGTCTATGAGCAATAAGCCCATGCAACTTACGCACCAGGAGAATACAAATCGAGAATGCAGCCTCAGACTGCCCTCTTTTGCATGATCATGGATTCTGGTACGATTGTCCGTTCCCCCCGTCCCGATGGCGTCGATATCCGAGAACACACCTGGTGTGCGGGACAACTGCCGCAGCGCAGGCTGGCTGCATCGCGTCAACTTTTAACGGCTTTTTTTCAACGACGCGCATCCGAATGATCCCTACCTTCAGCACGTCTGAAGGAGATTTTCTCCTGGCTGTAAACCATCCCGTGCAGCTTATACCGGCTCAAATATACACATAGCACAATATGGAAGTCTTTCGGATGCGGAAATCCCCCGGAAACGTCGACTTCCCCGCCCATGGATGTCAGGGCACGCTTGTGCGGTCATCATGTCCGCATCCTCCTATTCTCTACATGTGTATCTCCTTATGTTAATAGAGTTGATCGACTTCTCACGGCAACCGACGGTCTCGACTACCATAACTGTTCCTGCTATTCTCCCCCCTCAACCTCTTAGTCTCATATCTGAGCATCGGCTAGGCAGTGTAGGTGCCGTCTAACCGTGTCCGAAGGCTCCACGGGGATCATCCGATGGGGCTCGAGGCCCCAGAACTTTGGAACCGACCGTCGCTGGGTCTGATCCGACCGAACCTTTACGCTTCACCCACGATGACATCGTTGGGGGAGGTGGGTTAGTAGCCAACTTGGCCTGATAAATAAAAAGGCCCGTTCGTAGTCTCAACCCAAGACACCAAGTCAATCGCATTCAAGCACCTTTCAATCATAGTATCTACTCTACGAACTCGAATAGCCTTATTCACCCAGCAACAACAACAGCACCAACAGACCACTGCTTTATTATCGCCACTACCACCAACCTCAGACACAACGACCCCAATGTCGACCCCCAAGAAAAACTTCCACGTCGCCATCGTCGGCGGCGGCATCGCCGGCGTGACCCTCGCCATCGCGCTGCACCACCGCAACATCTCCGTGACCATCTACGAGCAAGCGCACGCCTTCTCCGAAGTCGGCGCGGGAGTGTCCTTCAGCCCGAACGCGGTGCAGGCGATGAAGTTCTGCCACGACGGCATCTACAGCGCCTTCGAGAAGGTGTGCACGCGCAACCTGTGGCCCTCGAAGCAGAAGGTCTGGTTCGACTACCTGGACGGCTACAACTACAGCAAGGGCGCCGACGAGACGGGCGCCGACCAGCGCCGCCAGGACATCGAGTTCACTATCTCCAACAGCCTGGGCCAGAACGGGGTGCACCGCGCGCACTTCTTGGACGAGCTGATCAAGCTCGTACCGCAGGAGATCTGTCGCTTCAAGCGGCGGCTGGAGGACATCCACGAGCGCATCCGCGACGGCAAGCTCATCCTCAAGTTCGCGGACGGGTCCGAGGAAGAGGCCGACGTGGTCATCGGGTGCGATGGCATCAAGTCGCAGGTGCGCCAGATCATCGTCGGCGCCGACCATCCGTCGGCGAAGCCCTCGTACACGCACAAGTACGCCTATCGGGGCCTGGTGCCGATGGAGAAGGCGATCGAGGCGATTGGGGAGGAGCTGGCCTCGAATTCGTGTATGCATGTGAGTTGTATCCCTTGCCTTGCGTTGTCTTGTCTAAGCTGTCTCCAAAGACTTTCTAGCCTTAAAGTTTCTCGAATCCTGACATTGGATGATAGATGGGCCCCGGCGGCCACATGCTCACCTTCCCCGTCAACGGCGGCAAAACCCTCAATATCGTCGCCTTCCACACCAACCCCGCCGACTGGGCCGAGTACCCCCAACTCACCCGCCAAGGCACCCGCGAGGAGGCCCTGAAGGATTTCGAAGGCTTCGGACCGAACGTGATCAACCTGCTGAAGCTGACTGAATCCGATCTCAGCGTGGTGCGTACCCCTGACCCTGATCTCACTCCTCACCCCTATCCTCCATCCCACCCCTCCATTTCCAAGTTCCCCTCAACACAAAACAAAAGCTAACAGCACAAAAGTGGGCAATCTTCGACCTAAACGACCACCCAGTCCCGACCTTCCACAAAGGCCGCGTCGTGATCTCCGGCGACGCCGCCCACGCGACCTCGCCGCATCACGGCGCCGGCGCCGGCTTCTGCATCGAGGACACCGCCGTGCTCGCGACGCTGCTGCAGGACGAGCGCGTGCGCTCCCACGCCGACCTGGCGGCGGTGTTCGCCGCGTTCGACGCCAACCGCCGCGAGCGGTCGCAATGGCTGGTGCGCAGCTCGCGGTTTATCGGGGACTGCTACGAGTGGCAGGCCGAGGGCGTGGGGAGGGATTTCAAGAAGATCGAGGAGGAGATCAACCGGCGGAACGGGGTCATTGCGAATGTGGATGTCGCCAAGATGGTGGAGGAGGCCAGGCAGGAGCTGGGGAAGCGGTTGGCGGGGAATAAGGCTTCTTTGTAGGTGGGTTGGGCTTCCGGGTTTGGGGATGATGGTATGTAGTTGGTCTTAATCTGAGTGTGTATATAATTCTATGATGTAGATAGTTGTGATTTATGGCTTGGAGCATGTTTGAGATGTTTATAATATGTTTATGCAAGGCGCTATTTGGGAATTTGCACTGGTCTACTATTGATATATGAACTTGCTTCTTACATATGATTATGTGACATTATATCGGTATTTCTTGCCAGGGATCGCTATAAATAGAAGGTACGGCTTTTTATACAGGTATATAGCTGTCTGGAACCGAAAACCCGGCTACGTTTAATGTATTTTTTTTGGTTGCTATATTAAAATGCTTCTGAGACAATGTGAGATATGCCTTCAGGGCGCACAGTATCTTCTGAGACATGGTCCAAGTCAATTGAAATCATATCGGAGGATTGTGATTTGAGTGCGCATGATCCAGATACTTCACGGCTTAAGAACACCCGGCTCATGCTGATGATGAAAGGTAATTGCACAAGTCTCAGTTCCTGTCTCAATTTGCTCTTCCTCTCTGCTTACCTAGGTAGTACTCCACGCAAGCCCTGCATCCGACTGATTCCCCATTGGCTACCCCGCATCCAACTGCCGGGCGCCATCCGACATTTGTCCCGTTTGCCATGTTTGATCTGTTTGCCGGCCTTTCGGAAGCGGTCAACAGCGGCAAGAGAAGGCCGCATCCGATGGGGCTGGGGATTTCCCCTCATCAACTCCCCAACTTCCGAAAGCTTGTTTCCCTCCGACTCCCCAATTTTGAGGGGAATATGGGGCTGGATGACTCGTTCACTTCAAAGATCGGAGAGGTTGGCCTCGTGTGGACGTACTGGCTCTAGAGTTCCTATGGCTGCATCGGAACCCAAATCAGTATTCCTGATGTCCTACAGCCTGACGTGGTGGGTTGTTCTTCCTAACAGACTGCTCCCACCCGACCTTAACCGCCTTCAGTGTTCTTGATCACCCGGAGAAATGCGCCACAGTCTGGAAAGCCTGTCAGCAGGCGCTCATCTACCTTGTGCCACAATGCGGTGGAACCAACCTCTCTCATCAAAAAATTCTAGCTCAAGACATTTGGTGCGTTGACCGGGTCCCAGCGTGGAGGCCGAATGTTTAGACTCGTGCGAGAGGACACTGGTCGCGCTGTCCATCGAACCGCGCCGCGAGATACTCTGAAATGCGAATTTGACCTGCTTCGACTTGGCGATAGGTGCTCCAAGATCGCTCACTAAAACGTATCAGCCGGCTTCAGACAACCACGCATCACTCTTGACGTACTGGGTATATCCATGAACCTCGCTCGCCGGGGAGTCCCCGGAAAGGAAGCGAAGTACAACAGCGATTGACTTTTCGAGATCGGATCTTCAAGTATCCGGATTGCTTCAGCCGAGTTGGAGTGGCAGTCTGTCGCGTTGATGGATATCCTCCTCGCGTCGATACAGGAAATGACCCTTCGGCGGAGCAGTACCTCTTGAAAGGACTCGAAATCTGTGAACGTCAGCCTAGGTGCTCGACCAGCTGTTAGCTCAAACTGAATTACTGTACCACTCAAGTCATGGAATTGATACATTAGGAAAAGGGGGTATCGCGTGATTGTATGGAGGTCTTCAATCTTTGTCTTGTGCGAGCCTTGAAACCAGAGGCCGAGCTGGGTTGCAGTGACCCGTCGGCCGGGAACGTAGGGGAGCATGGAGCTCTTGACTGTGGATGATCCGCGGATGACTGTTTGAGTGACCTTGACTCCGTCTTGGACATCAATTGCTTCGATCGCTTCGGGCTCGTTTGTTTGTGTGTTGAAGCAAGCCAGGACATTGCACATGAGAGGACGGTGTAGCACGCATTTTGGAACATTTGGATCGAGGAATTTTCTACGATGGAAGTACGGTTAGTTCACAACTATATGGGCTGGGGAGAAGCGAGAAGGAAGCAGAGCATATTGACGCGGGCACATACAGCTGCACCGGATGGCTTGTCAATGGGATCTTTCTGTCGGGTATCGGCATTGATATCACCGATTGAGGAGAACCGATGGTCAAATCTGACTCTGCGGATCTCTGTCGAGATATAGCTCTTGATGTGCGGTCATCCGGAGGAGGGGACTTCTTCGGACTAAACAGGTAAGACAGTCCTGGCGAGTGGAATTCCAAATCATGAGCGTTCGTATTGAAGGCGTGAACGAGTTGGAAGTCGAGCCATTGTCGGAACTGTTCCCATTCCTCGGCGGTATCGTTGATGGACTGGCGTGTTTTCGCCGAGACTTTATCTTTTTGATAGAGATCATGATTGGGCACAAGATTGTGCCCATATCCGACCATACCCAAAGCATCGCGCACATCATCGCTCACTTGATGAAGAAAGCGTGATATAGCTGCGACATCTAGTGTATCGCCGCTATCGCTATCGAGCGTAGGCGCAAGCCCACCAGATGGGGACTGCGGGGCGAGACCATGGGTATTGTAAGTGTCGAGTCTGCGAGTGAGATTGCCTAGTCTCTCAGATATCTCCCGGATGCGATCGAGGACCTTTTGATACTTTTGACTGTCCACTTGGTTGAGCACGTTGTCGTTCTCGGGTATTGCACTCAGCATGTGCTCTGACTCCAGCAGAGCTCGCCTCAATCTGTTCCCACGGTGATTAGGGTGATGAGCGTCAAGGGTATTGGTCTCCATTGACTTGTCGAGCATACATCGCCTTAAAAGTAAAGAAACCTGTGATGTCATGGTTCTTCCAGCAATCAGCATGCTTCGTCATGACGTGCACTCTCTCCGGGAAAACGACGTACTTGATGGACTTCAGCATCTCGAGATTCTCCAATTGATTGTTCTCCGTTGCCTTTATGAAGCCGAACGTCGCATCTCGCGTTTCCTGACTCGACTTTAACATCGCAATTTTCAGACATCTCTCTAGCTTTCGTCGGAGTCTTTCCGCTTCGTCACGCTCTAAGGGCCAGGTAACCTTCTCGAATAGGATGATTGCTTCGGTGCCGAAGCTGTTACGCCGACTCTTCGAGGTCTTTTCATCCTGCATCAATTGGCGATGCTTATGTACGAATTCTGCGCATTCGTCAATCGTCTGGTTGTAGAAGACCCCCAATTCTCGTTCGCTCTTGACGGTCGACTGTTTTGTCTTTTGAATCTGCTCCAATAATCCTTTTATGGCTCTGAATTCTTGTCGAAACGAGTTGAAGTCGGCCGAAGCACTTGCGGGTCCTTCTTTGACATTTTTGTAGATGGTCCAGACAGTAGTAACAGCTGTCATGACATCCCCAAGACCTATCTGGGGAAAGCTCATTGCTTATTCCCTGTTTCTAAGGGTATTCTTCAGAACAAGAGGTGCTTTATGCTTTAATGGTATGGGATGCGAAATCAAGCGGAAGAGAATGGGAGCATTTACAGCAGAATGGATATGTGTCTCCAGGATCGACCAGTGCATCTCGGCGCTGAAAAGTCACAAGGGACCTTGAAATTCCACGAGGCTGAGCTACCATGCGAGGAGTAAAGTGCCTTCGCTTCTGTCTGGTCAGGCAACAGCTTGTCGCCGGGGGCGAACGAGCTTCAAGGGGGGTGTTTGAACATGACTGCGCCCCGCGATCTGGCCTAGGATTGAGATAATATTGTCTTCAGAGCTCCGAATCTTATTGCCTCAACCACATAGTAGCTACCCAGAGCTTTCAGTTGTGGATACCTTCATCGGGCAAACTCTCGTGGTGGCGGTGCACGAGCCTTTTAGCACCGGTTTAGTTTCTCCCTCCAGACCAATCGAGGAGCTCTGGTCAGGAACGTGCTGAGATGAGTCGATCAATTCGAAATGACGTACAGACGTACCACTATATTCTGGCTTTCAACACGAACCTGAATGATGTTCCCCGGGGCTGCCTTTCATCTTGTCTTTTCTTGTCTGCCTCTGTTCGAGTAGTAGCACCATTGCCTTGTGAGACAGACGAACATGAGCCATCAACATCGGCGGTTATCGCCCTTCTGTCAGCCTCGCGACCTTACAGCCTTGCATTCATGATATACCTATAACTTCTCGAACCGATCTGCGCTGATTTCAATTCTGATTGAGAGAAATGAGTCCGCAGTCTAGAAACACGCCATTCTATTTCAGCCTCTCAACTCGGTTCCTACACAAGTGGAAGGTGCCATCGGAGGCACAAATTCAGAACAAGACCAATCAGGGTTCGAATTATTGCCAGCCTGATTGATCGTTATGGGTCTTTTTCCCCAGGTCAAATTGTACCTGAATCCGTGGGGAAACTACGAAGACTTCAGGCATCATGCGGTTATTAGTCATAACATAACCGACGACGAGTACTCTGCTGATTCGCCTCTAGCCGGCCCAAAGACATGACTTCATTATTAGTCGTTTAGAGCATGCGAGAAAGCGAGAATGGCTTTGGGTTATTGTTGTGGCCGGTACCGGTTTCTTCGCAGATGCATACTGTGTAAGTGGATTGAACGTCAAGTACACAGCCGTGACTGACCTTATAGATATTCTCCGTCAACATGGTCACTCCGATGCTCAGTGCGGTCTACTGGGACGACATCAAGCTCAAGTCTAACACCTTGCACAATTATCAAGTTGCCCTCGCGATTGCCACTTTAGGGGGTGCTCTGGTCGGCCAGATCCTGTTTGGCATCGCCGCTGACATCTGGGGTCGCCGTAAGATGTATGGATGGGAACTCATCATCCTCATCTTCAGTACTCTCGGCATGTCAATGGCATCGTCTGGAAAGAATGACTCTATGTCCATGATTGGAATTCTGCTCTTTTGGAGGTTCTTCATGGGCGTGGGGGTGGGGGCTGACTATCCATTGTCGGCCGTAATCTGCTCAGAGTATGACCCTTTTTTTTTGTCGTGTGCAGTGTGTTGCTCAAGTCAGGTCTCATGGTATCTCAGGCTAGCTCCGACAAGCATAAGAGGTCGAATGTTGGCAGTTGTGTTTCTTTGCCAGTCTCTTGGAGAGGCGGCCGCTGCGGCCGTGGCACTCATTGCCGTAGCTGGCTTTCGAAGCAGCCTCCCAGATGATCCCAACAGTCTGAAATGTTCGGGCTCCTGTCCCCATGACCTGGATAGAATATGGAGGTATATTGTCGGCTTAGGCGCAGTTCCGGCGTTTGTGGCCATTTGGTTCCGGATGACTATCATTGAATCTCCACGGTACACTGCCGATGTGATGAACAATAGTCTGCAGGCTGCCGCCGATGTCTCTCAATTCTATCGGTCAACAGAGCTACCAGCCACATCGGCGTCGAGTTTGGGAGAGAATTCAATCTCTCTCACACAGACCCGTACACGCGACGATCGCATTATCTCGCCGGTCGTCTCCCGCGATTCTGGCTCCGGAGCCAGCGAGAATGACACAAAACCCCATGTAAGCATGTGGAAAGATTTTAAAATGTTTCTCAAACAGAACCACAACCACCGTACACTAATCGCTACTTCTTTGTGCTGGTTCTGCCTCGATCTGCCGTTCTATGGCTTGGGCTTGATGAATGCAGAGATCGTCAATACCATCTGGTACGGGCAGGCCATTCAGCCAGCGGGCGTCTACCAGTATCTCTTACGTGTGTCATACCAAAGCATTGTGGTCGTCTCGTCTGGTGCTATTGTGGGTAGCGCCATTGCGGTCATGACGGTCGACCGCATTGGCCGGCGGAATCTGCAGCTTTTGGGCTTTGCCTGGCTGTTCATACTAAATGTGATCATCGGTGCGGCTTTTCGGTATCTTAGCGAGCATGGCGATGCATCGGCTCTTGTTGTGCTCTATGTGCTGACGCAGATCTTTTTCAATTTTGGTAGGTTCATACGCTGCCATGGAAAGAGCTGGCTAATGCTGAACTAGGACCAAACACCACGACTTATATTGTATGTTGCATACAGAGGCATTCTCTAGACTTCGACATTGCCCATCGTTTGTATCATTTAAATCACATCTGACACCCTGCAGGTCCCCGCAGAACTCTTCCCAACTCGCTTCCGCTGCACCTGCCATGGTATCTCGGCTGCATCCGGAAAACTGGGATCTATCCTCGCGCAGTGCTTTCTGGGCTATGTGGACTTTGGCAATGGTGCAAATTGGCGACACGTGCCAGATTGGCTAGGTTATGCGCTTCTATGGTAAGCCCGTCGGGCTTTGTCTCGGGTGGTTTAGGTCTAACAAATATCTAGCCTGTCCTTCTTCATGCTGATGGGCCTCGTTGTCACTCTTTGGATTCCAGAGACCAGGGATTCGAACGGGAAGAACAAGGCTTTGGAACAAATCGCCGCGGAGATGGAGTCCAAGGGGGAGTTTGGTCGGGACATTGAGACTCATGGCTTGCCCAGGCCGGCTACTGACGGCCTTTGAGGTTTGAATCTCTTTATATAGCTCCTGCTTGCTGTGATACCTTTGTATGCCTGACTTTGCTTATGCGCCTCTTTTCGGGCAGTGACGAAAGCTCACCCAAGTATTAAACTCATTCATTACCCGCTTGTATTCACCAACAAGAAACAGTTAACCTTTGGATTGAGAGTCTCCGGTCACTGTGCTACCAGTAGGCCTTCTAAAGGACTTATTCACTTCCTTGCTACTAAACAGGTTGTAGATTAATTCACCACATACCACATGTAGTCTGTAGAGCTAAGCTATTGTCTCATTTTCATTCAATGTGATTTGACTAATTGTTGAAAACCATTTACTCTCTGACTGGATGTCCATTCCCTAGAGGTGGTCTGGCTCCATTTACTTCGTCTCCCTCCACTATTTAGACCTCCTTCCACTCCCACCTCTTTCTCTTCCCCCTCCTCGTTCCATCCACTAACCCACCTTCCTCCATCGCTCCATCTCTTCCATCCCTGACTCTTCATCTTTTCTTATCTTCCATCATCCTCTCATGTATCACATCATCATCCTGTTATCCTATATACTGCCTACCATCTTCAGATTGTCCCATCTACTTGATAAACCTTCTACAAGCCAAACATAGAACGCCGTCCGTCAACATGGGTCCGTTCCTCAAGCAAACAGCCATTTGGCGTATCCTGAGTGCACGCTATACAACCTTGAACGACAAACTCAGGCCATATCCTGGTGTTCCATTCTGGGCCGAAGAACATCAACTCAGGCCACCTCGCCAGTGACGGGTGAGGTGTCACCACCGTGTTCATTGCAGATCAAACGCCCGTGGCGAACCTACTCAGCAGTCTGCTTTCCAGAAGCTCCCAGTACTTCTCGCATGTTGAGGATCGATCTTACATCAATTAGCAACTGCGTTGCCCACACAGAGTGAAGATCATTACACGGAATAGCAGCTTTTCTCGACAGATGGTGATGAACTTTCAAAATGCAATTATCTACTCACCTCAGGGGCATCTCGAGAAAGTTACAGCTAGTAATTATCGAAAACCTCAGGATGCTCTCGATTTCCATCAGACTCCCCCTATCTACCCACACAGTGTGCGGTTCGTATTTCAACACAGAAGAATCCACAAAAGGTTATTGTCGAAATCACTGACCCTCAATTGTTTGGGAATCCTGGGCTCTGTCAAACGCGACGTCACACTATACTAGAAAGGGAACGATGCGCGACTCAACATGAAATGAAGAACCCTTAAATAGAGCCACCAGAGCACGTATAAACGTCGGCGCAGATGCGTCTGCCATGCAGTATAGCAATCTGCGAACACTGTGGTTGGATCCTGTGTGCCAAGGTCGCTAGAACTGGGTTAAAGGGGCGGTTTGCCCTTTACCCAGTGGCATTGAGTGCGGATAAAAAGTCCCATCTCTAAAGTGTTCTTCGGGCTCCCAACCAATGCTTACCAGAAAGTCCAGTCGATGAGGCGATCTCCGTCGCTTATTGTGGGATGATCTGACAATTAATTAATATTGACTTCTGGCGCACAACAGCTTAGATCCGGACTCATACGTATCGTGCGTAACACAGCTGAAGCTCACCCGGCGGTGAGATTATAGACAGTACGACGCTCTTATGCGGCTTCTTTTCCGACGTGGCTTTGAAAGCTTATACCTCGAACAGTATTGTTCCTGGATCGTCCTCGCGGCTGGAGGCTTAATCCAGCTGCGACAAAGGGACTCAGCGAGGGATATGGGTGGAAACGCAGAGAGTGTGGACACCTCCGTTGTTGGGGAACGAGATTTCGAGACCCTTGTGCACCAATTCGTACACTGCGGAACGAATGTTATGCAAATTCTCGCCGGCTGCTGCTGTACAGGACCGACTTCGAAAACAATTTATCGGCCTTTAGGAGCCGGAACATAGGATTTGGGAAGGGAGGAGAAGACTACTATATGGTCCATGTATCCCCTTACTCTACACTGGCGAATCTGGCCTCGATAAAACGCTCGCCTTCATTGCAGACAGCTGTTATCCATCGATACGCTCTGAACGATTCCAAGGATCCAATCAGTGCCTATTTTCAGCATGGTCACAGATCCAAGAGAGCGAAAGACCAAGAATCAAGCGAGCCTGATGATTTGGATCATTCGATTCAGAGCGTGGGCTGCACTGTCTTTGTCGCGAGCGCGCCTGCCCCCGCCGCGCCTGCCGCTCCTGCGCCTCCAGCGGGCACACCCAGGGCCACCTGGGACCAGCCTGCGCCCCGCGACCGGTCCAACGACGATGAGTGGGGTGCCTCGCGATTCGTCGAGCTACCCGCCGCGGCCTGGTTCTCAGGTCGCAGCGTGGCAGCGCCCGCCGTGGTGCCAGGCCTCCTACCCTGGACAGGTTCGCAGCCCCTGTCTGGCCGCGAGCGGGCCTGGATCCGCGAACCCGTTGTGCGGTCTGTATTGTATATTAGGTGGTCGGACCCCAGGCAGCTGGCTGTCCGGGCTCAGCTCTTCGAGGGCATCCTTGTGACTCAGGCTGGCCGGCAGCCGCCGCTTGACCAGATGTATAGATACTGTCGCGACCCCTCCTCCGGGAGGGTGTTCTGCAACTGTATTAGCAGAAGAATTAGCCAGCAGTGCAACAACTGTTTGCATACAGGTGGCAAGTACTGCTCCCTTATAGAGTAGTATTCCGCCCTTATGTGTCCCGGCCGCTGTGCATCGCGAATATGTGCTGCAATACCAGGCACTGCCATCATCTCCGCAGCCGGGGCTGCTGCCGCCACAAGATTTTATATTAGTCTCTTTCCGGTTCTACAAAGGAGATAAGGATAAGGCTTGCGTGATACCTTGTCATATCAGTGATCGGCTTCTGAGTTGCGGTCATGATGTTTTGTTCAAGATACGACCAATCGAAAGGAAGGTGCGAAGTTTAGTGTATCAATTGACATTCAGACTCTCTTAAAGGAGAGCAGGATTCTTAGGGATAAGGTGAGAAGCCTCCATAGAGCCTTACGAGTCTTATATTAGAAGTTTAGTGACACTCCAGGGAAGGCGGATTCTGCTAGCCCATTCAGGGGAGGACGGTCCTGCCGTCATACCCACCGCCACCCTTTCTTCCTCCATCTTCAGCCTGTTCTTTCATCAACCAAGTTACCACTGGGACAACATCGTTGGATAGTTACAAACGATGTCGGCTTCCTTGATGTCGATGGGAAGGCCATGAACGACCCTACTTCATCGTGACCTATACTACTGAGGCTCGTCTTGCCGTTAACCTCGCAATGACCCTCTCTCCATACAACGCGCAGAGTACCAGGATCAAGGAGCAGCCAGCTAGCCGGTGCTGCGATGGTCAACACAAGCTTAGGGCGTACAAGTCATTAAGTACATGACTCAGTACGTGTACAAGGGCCCGGACCATACTACACCCTACTTCAAAGCGGCAGACGAAATCAAACAGTATCTGGAGAGCCAATACATCGGCCCGACTGAGGCAGCTGTATGACTTCTCTGTTCCGTGTCCACGAGGAGTATGCGACCTTAGCAGCACCAGTGGAGGAGAATGGCCAAGTAAATAGCAGCCAGAACGAAGCATTGCAAATGTGGGTCCAGCTGAAATGAGTATTTCGATAAACAGCGACACGCGTTAATTGAGCGGGGCTTGCCAGAATCATCGGCAAAATTAAACGAACTTCAGTGGCATGGGCGTGTCTCTAGTTGACCGACCTTGAAATGCTTCGGCTCATACTAACCCATCCCATTCGGAATGAAGCTTTCCGCCACGTGTTTAAAAGTATGCTCGGGTACCAGGACGCATCAGGCATGCCGACAGACTCTAGCACTATGGCTTTACTAATGTCAACTCGAAGTCTACGATACCAGTGCTCGAAATGCCAGGGTGATTTCCCACGAAGGTGTCAACTCGTCAGCAAGACGGACATGCTATGCCGGCGGTGGGACGGGTGCAAGGTAGTCATACCTATATGATATGTGCGGTTCGCCTTGTAACCAAAACCCAATATGCAAGTTGCGAAAAGCAGTACAGAAACAAGATGTTCGTCTCAATACTGCTGAAATCTACATCCATTGTGATAAAGAACACTAAGAGTAAGAAGGAATTGGGCAGAAGTGCAACAGGTGGATGCGGTTTGAATGTAGGTACTGTTTCTGGCGAGATTAGATGGTCTGTCCAGTTGCTCATCGGTGCAAACCTACTGTAGTCTGAGCCTAGTGTCTAAGGATTTCAGGATCTTAGCCAAGCTAACTTCATGAAAGAAGCGTACCCTTTGCCTGGCTGCTGTATGTGGGCCCTATGAGCCTTGCTTAGGCACAGCCAGTCATTGAACCCGTGTCGGCCAATTCTGACAGAACATTGTGTGTTGCAAACAGCCATGACTACTATCTTTCCATGCTGTGCATGAAGCATACAAGGATGCGTGCCATGAATCCAAGATTAGAAGCGTCAACTGCTGCAACGTCGGGCTATAGCCTGAGATCACCAGCTGTGGCGATCATCTGAACCGAGCGAACGCGGCCATCGCCTGGACTGACGCCGCGCTAAGGTGTTTGCCTTTTGGGCGTCATTTCATAGATTTTGTCAGTTCCGAGACACCAAAATTAATTTCCTGGTCGTTCTTGCTAAGTATGATGACGTTGTGCCCAATAGATCCTGGCAGAGAAAGCGACTTGCCGCATCAAACGCCAGAGGACTGGTAAAGATGACAAAGATGACTCAGGGTCTTCAATGGCTACCAAACAGAACAATAATGGGCAAAAGAATTCTCCGCCGACTTCTTTATTAAACCTGATTCAAATATGAACCCCACGGAACAGGCTGCTGCAAATGGACGACTGCAAGGAACGTATCCCAACCGTCTTGGAGACGATGTCTGGGAACATCCGAGCCAGGGACAGGCCCGACGTACCACAATTACGTTCGCCTACATAGAAGACTTCAAAAGTGGAAGAGGGGCATATCAAGCAGGCCGATGATATCATACAAGGCGGAGAACACACTGCGTGCGGTGAAAGCAATTGAAACAGTGAGTTCGCAGAAGCCCAGCGTGATGGAACGTATTCAAGCTTCCCAATATCAACAATAACTTACTCGTCTTCAGAGCGACGATAGCCAAGAGCCACTCCATCGACAAATTTGCAATTCAACCCAGCTAGCTTGCCGCATGTGCAATCAACTCTACATCTACATGTCTCCGAAGTGGGACAGCTGGATTTGTAAGCTCGATAATAGTTTATCCCGATGCTGCAACTATATCTCTTACGGATCAGGATTTGGGGGTCTCTTTTGGCAACCTCGTCGTGTCAGAAAGCATTATGGAACCTATTTCGACACTTCGGGTCTTTCTGGTGAGAGCATCGACCACTTGGCGTTATGCACTTATTACGGCGATCCGGGTTATTACCTCAAATATCTCAGATCTTTGCTTGGGAGTGATCCAAAGGATCTGCCGTGGAAGAAGCAGAGCAGCCTCGACATCAATCTAAGGCAAAGAGAATGCATTTGTTCCTCCATTTCCATATCCTCATCTATCCACGCGTCTTCGTCAAGTTCCATCACTTGGCAAGCGGTTCAAGAAAAGTCCTTTACTACTCGTGGGTACCTCCGCAAGCAATACTGGAGGTTTATATTTGCGACTAAACCGGACGGAACGTTTGCTCACTCTAAGCATGATCTCATATCTAACATCGGGGGCGACTACCGCGACCGCTATACGGGCTTCCTCAACCCTCACACCCACACGTCAAAGGGAGACATCAAGCGATGTCTGGCCCAGACGGTCCTGACTCCCCGTACCAGTAGGGGAGACCCGCTACCAAACAAAGGGAGGGTTCTAACATCACTGGTTCCTTGCCCAGTTCCGGGCGATTCTTCCTGCTCTTCCGGAGGAGTGTCTTCGGTAATTTCAAAGAGAGAAAACACTGTCACATTGGTAAGGCTGTAACGGCCGTGCTGACTGGCGACCACTTCGCCAGGATGTTGCTCCTCGCAAATGGTCTCAGGCGACAGGTCGCTACCGGTGGGAGGGACGTGAGCGTTGATGTCTCCTTCTTCCTGAAGATCGTTCATGGCTACATCCATGGGACAAAACCTCGAGGTCAGAGTCGTCAAACTAGTACCATCTTCTGCTGCCCTGGGGGTAAGGGATGGGCTAGATGACCCAGGACCTGCTAAGATCGCGGTTGTCACAGATGCACGAGATGCTGCCGTGGAGTCGGAACTAGACAAGGGTGGTTATCTGGGATTCCCGACTGAGGAACGTGCGGTGGCTTACCGACGAGAGCTTCTGCCGATGTTCATCGCTTCGATCTTTACCCCCCAATATAAAGGGTGGTATATCCTTTGTGATAGAGAAGCTGTATACATGAAACAAATCTGGATCCTGGACGCCCAGTGTCACAATTTTAGTTACAATCCAGATCAACAACAATAAGATCTATAAGAACCGCGCGCAACTGTTCGACCTGTCGCCATCGACAAGAGCAGAGATGTCGAAGTTGACGAGGATCGAAAGAGAACCCAGAAAATGCGGCTGGCCTCTTCTGTCTGGGTTTATGCAGTGCCAACAGTAGCGAATGAAAAACAAGATTTCGATGTCGACCAGGGAGTATGTGTAGCGCTCGTTTATATTCCGGCGACGATTCAAGCCCTAAAAACAGCCGATGGCAGTCGAATATCCCATGCAATCATCAGATGTGTCTGTTCTCACGCACTCGCCGCTGCCGACTGAGATTCTGAGTTTTGTTTTCCTGGGTTTATGATCCAGGTCCTCCAAGGGCTTTGCGAAACAACTTCTTGGCGGAATGGAAAATCCTCTACGATTGGATTCCAGCCCCGCTGGAGAATTGAGGGTATTTACACACATTGTGCACTCGCTGAGGGTGTATTGACTATTCAGCCTCGCGTGCTCGAGCGGATCGAAGTGAAGGCAGAAGAACAATCTGTACTAAGAAGCATGCCACACTGGCATGGGAGGATATCCGCCTCTCAGATACGAAGGAGCTCACGTGAAACAAATTGGCCTCAATTATGCGATTCTGACGCGACAAAATGAGCAAAGATTATTGTACGGTGCTTCTAGTCTTAAACCCTGCGATACAATGAATGGGAAGGCATTGTGGCGGAAGAGGAGACAGATAGTGAGCTACTGGACAACAATGGGTTTTCCCCACGCCTTCCCCAATGAAACCAATGAGATGTACGTCTATCGAGTGCTTGACCTGGGATCCGATAATATTGAAGCTTGACAGACCATGTTTAGATACCGATTCGTGGGTATTCTTGGATATATCTGGACTCTAGCACGCCAGACCCCAGAAGGCAATGTAGCGAACGGCAGCCCATCGACAAGCGGATATAGGCCACCTTGGCTAATATTTTAAAAGAAAAGCTCCCCCATGGGATTGCCAGGATCGAACAGGCAATCTTCCCGTTGGTTGGTACAATATCCAGTGGTCCGAAACTGACTCGAAAAGAAGTGCTTCTCTCCCCGCATCTGTTATCGACTGGCTGGACATCATCGACCGTGGCTTGCACAAAAAGACACCAAAGGCAATGAGCTACCGAAGGACAGTACGTGGGTAGGCCATGCCTATAGGAACAACTTACGTAAGTATAAGCAAATGATATATTGTACGTGCTGATTTAATCGGTTGATGCAATCAATATGTATTGCATATGCCACACCCCATACCCAAGAAGCCTGTTTTCCTCCGTTTCTATCCTTCTTCTTCTCTTACATATGCCAGCCCTATATTATTATATCTCCTCCATCACTATCCTTTATTATCTCCACCTTACTATTCATGCTCAGCATATACTAACCGTATGATTCCTTAGATCCTTTCATCCGATCACACTCCTCTTACTCTACATTAAGCCTATACTTTATGTACACCCTGCATAAACCGCCGGGATGTCGGCAACCGCCCACTTGTGAACTCAGGATGACCTTAACAATCCCGAGCTTTTGAACACTGTAAGCCCGCACCAGCAGGTCGGCTACTTCCAGAGTACATATATACCTTGCCTATCCAGTTCCTATGCTAAGCATATGCAGGGCCAATCCCAAACAACAACTCAGGATGGCAGCCTCACTCCACGCGCGCCCCAAGAGTATCAGCCGAGGATAATTCCCGTATAAGCATATCCAATACACATGCACAGCATATGCTAACCTCTATAGGTGCCATGTGACAGTCGTGGGTGGAAAGATTATGTGTGGCTACTGCTGCCTGGCCAAACCAGAGGACATCGCAAATATCAACCATGAAGAAGTGCCTTCTATCTTCATCATCCTCACGACCAACGACCACAGGCAACCCACCGCAATCCTCTTGCTGAACGTCTGAGACACCGCGGGTAGGGCCAAACCGATGCAATATCCTGAAGGCCTGGCTGTGGACGTCGGGTTGCTCTTGCTCTTATCACCCACGATGCAGGAGACCACCCCGAGCCGAAAGGTTGAGAAAGACGACTTGAAGAAACAGGTGGAAGGCGGAGGTCAGGCTTTCCCCGAGTGTTTAGCACCTGAATGATTTAGAAAGGGCTGTTAAATTGTATTTTGGCGGCTCGAATTATGGCCGGAGGATTGATTTCACATATTCACGACATGACTGAATCAAAACACCGGTGCTAGATGAAAGGGATAACCGCTCGTCACAATCAGTATGCGATTCAGCTCTGTAGATACAGGTTTCTCGATGGTTCGGGGTAGCTGTATGCGTGGAGAGAATGCACGTGACCCCACGCCAACAAATATGACCTTCCTAAAGAGGCAATTCTGAATCCATCCCCCCTTCCATTAAACATCACTTGTAGAATCATCCATGCAACAAAGATACCTCTGCTCAGAGTCCGGCCGATGCGTTTCTCGCCCGAGACACGATAACGTTATTATCCCAAACGTTGGACCCTCACAAAGAAACAACACCCCATCGTCACGGGAGATTGCGCCATCGGACCACGGCTTTCGTGATCGCCCGCCAACAGCAACATAACTGGCTTAACCCAGGCATGTGCGCTCAGGCACGCCATCCTCTCCACTCTTTGCAAGTGCAGGGAAGAGTCAATGATCATCGCGTGCAGGAACGAATTCTGGAACCATGGCTGGACCGATGCGCCGATGCGCCGAGGGGTCGAGGGGTAGCGGGGTTGCCGGGTAAGTATATAATCCATCCCCTCGCTCATCCAAGCCGCATTTCTGATCCTCTACTACAGAATATACCACAGAATTTCCGAAAGATACCAGCAAAGACTTTATCCACGGAGCAAGACCACAGGCAGTCCCCCGCAATGGCTCTCACCCAACAACCCCCCACCACGATCCCCTTGGACATCTTCCCGGACGGCCTCAAAACCACCGGCCAACACCCCCCGCTCTACGAACACATCCACCCCTTCGACCGCTTCCCCAAGGAAATCACCGGCCCGACCGTCTGGAAACCCGAGGACTACCGCGAACACCCGGAGAAATGGACCCATCGGTTTACTGCTGCGGAGGTCGAGGAGTTGTCTACGACGGCGGACGCCTTCCTGGCGAATAAGATCCCGTTGACGGGTATCAGCAAGGTGAGCAGCCCCCTCTACCTTCACCTTCACCTTCACCACCACCACTCTGAAGCATGAGCGCTAACCAAGCAACAGACCAATTTCCCCCTCCCCACCCTCTCCACGCGCCTGCACACCCTGCGCGAAGACCTCCTGAACGGCAAGGGCTTCATCCTCTTCAAGGGCCTCCCCGTGCACGAATGGGGCAACCACAAATCCGCCGTCGCGTACATGGGCCTAGGCACGTATCTGGGGTATTTTGTGAGCCAGAACAGCCGCGGCCACGTTCTGGGCCACGTCAAGGATCTGGGTGAGGATCCGACGCAGATCGACTCGGTGCGCATCTATCGCACGAATGCGCGGTAAGCCCCGCCTGGCTTTCTCCTACCTTCCATCCACCCAACCCGACCAACCCAGCCCCAAGCCATAGAATCGATACTGACCGTTGACTGGGTGGGGCAGACAATTCTTCCACGCCGATGACTCCGACATCGTCGGCCTGCTATGCATCCACCGCGCGCGCGAGGGCGGCGAATCCGACCTCGTCTCCTCGCACCACGTGTACAACACCCTCGCCAAGGAGCGGCCGGACGTGCTGAAGACGCTGACGGAGCCGATCTGGTACTTCGATCGGAAGGGGGAGACGAGTCAGGGTGAGGAGGAGTGGATCCGGACCAGTGTGGTGTATCTGGAGCGGGAGGGGGATGCGCCGGCTAGGGTGTATACTAAGTGCGTCCTACCCTACCACCCTACCACCCTACCACCCCAATACCACAATACTAACAGACCCCAGATGGGACCCGTATTATGTCCGCTCGCTCACGCGCTTCTCCTCGACGGGCCTGATCCCGCCGCTCAGCGCGGCGCAGACCGAAGCCCTCGAGGTGCTGGAAGCCACCTGCAACCGGCTGTCGCTGCACATGATCCTCGAAGTCGGCGACATCCAGTTCCTGGCGAACTCGCACGTGCTGCACGCGCGCACGGCGTACGTGGACCACGCGCCGCCGACGCCGCGGCGGCATCTGATGCGGCTGTGGCTGGCGACGCCCGAGAGCGAGGGCGGCTGGCGCTTGCCGTTCTGGGATAGTAATGAGAAGAAGCGCGGGGGCATTCAGGTCGATGATCAGCCGCCGGTGGCGCCTTTGGATGCGGAGTAGATTTTCTTTCGTGGTTGGTCGGTCTCGGACTGTAGTGATTGTCTTGTGTTGTAAGATTTAGCCCTGTCTTGTCTGTTGGTTGGAATTAAAATACCATTGTTTTCTCTCTAAAAGATTATGGGGATGGGATTGGGGTCGGTCATAGTGTGAGTGTAATTAGGTTGTAGTCATAATTCGTACAGTACATGCTTGTACTTCCTTTCTCTTCCTCACTTCGTGCGATGCTGGGAAGGGGAGACTGTTATCTCTTCAGACAAAGGGATAGACATAGCCCTAGCTTCCATCCTCCAGTCACCAGCCATTCTTATTCACCCGCCTTGATCTTATAATTCCCCCCACTCACAATCTCCAACTTGCCCTTGGCCACCATCCCCGCCAGAAACTCGCGCAGCTCCTCGTTGCTGAACGGAAACCCGCCGGGGACCGCGATCTTCAGCATCATCACGATCCGCTGCAGGGGCATGGCGCCCTGGTTCGTCAGCATCCCCACGATAAACTGCCAGTACAGGTTCATCTTCTCCATCGCGGCCGCTTCGGCCGATTCCTTGGCGGCGGCGGCGGCGGCCGCCGCCGCCGCCTCGGCCGCGTCTTCGAAGACCGGGGAGGTGCTGATATTGGACGGGCGGTGGGGGTGGTGCGTCGTCGGGGTCGTAGGGGCGGTGTCGGTCTTGGGGGAGGTCGCGGTGGATTGGGCGGCGGGTGGGCCGTCATGCTCACCAGCGGAGGAGGAAGGCAGGACTTCCAGGACGCGGAAGGTGTCGCGCGGATGTTCGTGGAGGATGCGTTTGCTCACCCAGAAGAGGCAGGCGGAGCGGACGAGAGTGGCGGGCATGTGGAGTTGGTGGGCGAGGTCGGGGATGGTTTTGGTTGTGTTGGTAGAGGAGGAGTTGAACGCGTAGATGACCGTGGCTTGCCAAGTGGTGACTTCATCGACGAAGACGCGGTCCTCCAGGTCGAGTTCCACGGTGACCTGGCCGAGGCCGTTGAGCCAGGTGAGTTTGCGGGATTGTTTGAGGGAGCCGAAGCCCTGCGCGTAGCGCTGCTGCAGGGAGGCGATGGGTTCGGGGACGCGGAACTCCGGCCCCAGGAGGTCGGGCCAGAAGAAATGAGACAGGATCTTGGCGTGGAGGTCGGGGTTCTCTGATTGCTGCTGGCTCTTCGCTAGGCCTTGGTCGTTGCGGATGACGCCGTCGACGCGGCGCGAGTCGAAGATATCGCGGAGCATGACCTCGCACGCCTGCAGCGCGTTGTCACCAAAGCGGACCTTGAGTAATTCCAGCACGGACATCTCCTGGTCGAAGTCGGCACGTTTCTGCAAGAGACGCTCGCCGAGCATGTTCTGCATCTCCTTGACGAACATCTCCTTCGAGTCGAAGAGGCTGATCAGACTGCCAATCACGTCGGACGTCTTGGATTTCCGGTAGTCTGGCGCCGCGTCTACCGGGTCGGGCATCCAGTTCATGTCATCCCAGTCGAGTTCGCCACTGTCGGCTCTGAGGGAGTTCTGGTGCGCCTTGGTGAGCTCAGCGGATAGTTCAACCAGCGTGTCCGGGTGGTGGAGGGATGCGGTCTGACCGTCCGCATCGGCAGGATCGGCCAGTAATCCGCCAACAATGACTTTGATGGTATCATCTCGGTCACGGAGGTATCGACGGATGGGACGGGCAATCCGATCGAGGAGAACGCCCTTGGGGTCAAGTAAATTAAAGGCTCGGATGATAGAAATATAGACCTGGAGAATCTCGATAGTGGATGCTCCCGGATGCAGCAGTCTTAGATTCAAGGCTGCAATGAAGGACTGGGTCAGATGATATCGCGCGGCAGGGTAGGTTGTGAAGTGGCGGAGATCCTCGATCGCACCGCTGCTTGCAGGCCACTCCACGATCACATCGAAGAGCTCGCTCGTGCGTAACGCTCCTAGACGGGCAATGCCAATCTCTTGCCATTTCTCCACATCGCCCAGTGTCACGTCAAGGTTGTCAACCTCCTTTTCACCGGATTCAGGCACATTGATAATGGACAGGACCTGAACAACTAGCTGCGCAAAGACATTCTCAATCCACTGCCGCAAGTGCTGCGAGGCAAGCGACGGGCCTTCCCACTGGCCCATATACGCTGTTCGCACGAACTCGGTCATCAAAGTATCCATGACGCTGGCGAACACCTTCTGTGCCTTGTCGCCACCCATCCCTACGAGTTGCAGCCCATTGCATAGCATCAGCAGCCGCTCTCGCGCAGCCCCGACCTGGGAATCTTGTTCCGTCAACATCTGCATCCTGGCGGAGGGCGAGGGCTCATCGCGCCAGTCCTGGTAGGACACGGAGCACTGCCGATCCACATCCATGTCATCCACATCATCCAGCCCGTCCGCAGCAGCCCTCTCCCGCAGGGCATCAATCCCCAGGATGACCAGCGCCTCCTTCATGACCTCGCGACTCAGCAACGCAGACGCCTGCGACCACGGCAGTGCATAAGCCACCATCATATGAAACGATCGACACAGTTTCCCATACACAGTCTCCTGCTCACCCCGATACAGCGCGGTCAGGATCTCCGTCAGCGGTTCAAAGTAGATCCCCCGAATGACTTGCAGACACACCACAATCCTCTGCAAGAGACCATCCTTCTCCGGTCCTTTGAGCGTCTGCATCGATAAAAGCGTCAGCAAAGAAAAGCACATTAAGCCCGATTTCCCGCCGGTCCAGCAAACTAACCTCAACCAACCCACTTCTCACATTCTTCAAAAAGTGCCTCCGAATCTCAAACCCGTACCAATCCAAAATACTCTTCTGCAGCGCGTCCCTTTGCTGTCGCACCCTCTTCTGCCCGAGAAACGGCTCGAGTAAGCACGCGAACGCATCCAGGGTCTCCTGGTCCGCCGTGCGATGGCGGTTCCACAGCCGCATGAATTGGAACTGGTCCATCTGTTCGCACCGGAGGAGCGTCGCGAAGCCCCGGTCGGGGACCGCGAGGAACTTCGTCGCGACGCGCCAGGCGCGGTCCCAGGTCGCCTGCTCGGGCCAGAGCTCGTCGTTGTCTTCATCGTCTGAGGTTGCGATCTCGGTTTGCTGGGAGGTGGTGGAGGTGCGGAAGGTAGGATTCTCGGGGCGCTGGGAGTCGGGTTCGGGGTGGTGGTGGGAGCGGTGAGAGGAGCGGAAGAAGAGGGGAGGGTTCGGACCGAGTGCGTGAGATTTCGCGGCCAGAGGGAAGTCGTCGAGCGAGGCTGGGGGGAGGACGGAGGAGAAGACGCGTTTGCGCCGGCTGGTAGTGGGTGTTGCTGTTGTTGGTGGCATTCTGGTGTTTGTGGTGTGAGTGGAGCCCGGATAGTGAGGGTTCAATCGAGGGGGGTCATAGTAGAGCTAGATGGGGCTTATGATCGCTGCGCGCCTTCATCGAGGAGGCGGCATTGTATTGTAGGGAACCCGTTGTCGTGGATGTTGTAGTGATTGAAGGAGTGCAGTTGCTGGAATTGACGGTGTTGATGGTTTGGAGATGATCGGCTGAGTCAGCTGGCTTATCGATAAGGACCTTCCTAATGAGGAAATCCCTAAGCATGACAAGTACGGAGTAACTTACAGTACAGCTAGCTTAGTTAAGAGCACAGAACTGTGTTGACTGAAAGTTAATGCATGCAGCTGGAGAGAAAACTTCATGCTGCAGCACACTGAAGCCTACAGTTTTACAATCTAAGCCTATCTTGTATTGCAAAGGTAGCTCTGGCTTCAATGTTACTTCAGCTTCAAAGAAAAATATTGAAACCGCAGGGCGAGGAATGAAAAGCAGTCACCGCGTAAGATCAGGATGGAATAGGCACCAGCAAGTAACACAGGGATTTCTAGTCTACTGACTGATCCCTTCTCTAATAGTACTTCTAGAATGTCGTCAAGCGGGACACTCGTATTTGCTGTGCAGCATGGCAACATGGCCTGTAGCCGCTTTACTCTGGCTAAGAGCTTCACCGATATTTGTACCACTGGGGGCTTATCACGTTTCCGCCAGTGGGTTGACCGCCAGTGTGTTGAGAGATCACTAGTTGAATGCCCAATGGGCGGTTCTAATGCACGGAATCAGTCTAGTATGATGATACATTGGCAAATCATCAGTCTACCGGCAAGGCATGTTATCTAACGGGTATCTCGTCGGTGGAGGAAAAGACAAGGCCACTCAAATATTGAACATATGTACCCACGAGACAGATGTATCAGAGTCTGTTCTGAGGGGTTGTGTAGGTAGGTGTAACCAAAAGGCAATTCGAGCCGGGTCTGGGCCCCCAAAAGGAGGTGCACCTGCGAGACCGCAAACCTGTTGCGTATCTAGGCCGCCTGGTTATCGTCCACCTTCTCCCATTCGCTATCGGTGCTCTGGTAGCCCGAGCTCTCGCCGCTGACGCTGAGACGCTTCCGAATTTCGCCTTGCGCCTCGGGGAGCTGGAGGGTGGCCGAGGCAGTGGTGGAACGCGGAGCGGAAGCGGGCACTGGTGCCGCCTCCTTGCGCACGGCGATTTGTTCAGTCTCCGTATCACTATCGGTGGCGTCGATAGCACCAGGAGTCTTGCGGATGCTGCTGTCCGGCTTGTCCTTGGAGCCCTCGTCCTGTTCCCGATCCGCTTGCTTCTGTTTCTCCGCCTCCTCGGCCTGGAACTGCCTTACTTCTCGCGCAAACCAGTTGATAGACCACCAGAGAGCGCCGGATAGAAAGGATAGAACCAGGAAATGAATGCTGTAGGTAGCCAGGAGGAGAGACAAGAGCAAAGCCTGCAGAGCTGCAAAGGTGACGTTGGTTGCGACCAGGAGCGTGGGGGTGGGTCCCGGAGTGAAAATGCTGGACCAGAGGTCCTCCATGAACGAAGCCATAATGGCGATCTGCTTCAGCTCGATTGGCCGGCTGAATGCGGGGGAGATTGCAAGGTAGGTTGGGTGAAGCTGGGGAAGAAAGGGCAATGACGTCGCAGCCGGAAAGTGGAATCCGTTGTCGCGGTGGTGGTTTTCTTTTTCTGTGCTTATTTTCCCCCCTCTCGTTCAGCCGGTGGGTCGCTCGGTGTGAGGTCGAGGTCGCTGACTTGCGTTGAGAGACTAGATGGCTTCTGTAGCTAGCCAGAGATCTGGCGAGGACAGACGTCTTCTGTGCAAGATACCGAGTAGGAGGAAGGTTGAGTGAGGAAATCGGAGGGAAGGTCGGCGCAGGGGGAGAGTCGCGGAATGTTTGGGTGTTTGGGTTGCGGGGGAGGATCGCCCGATCAGGTTTGGCCGGTCGGCGTTTGACTTGAGCCGATGGTGGGGAATATCACTTTGGAGTTTGGAGACTTTGGTTGAGTAGACCAGGAACTGAGCTAGTCACGGTTTACCCCGTGGGGGATCGATGGGTAAAAGTGGAAATTGTAGACGAAGGTGGATAGAGGGAACTGGGGAAGTGAAGAAGAAGGAGAGAGAGATCCAGGCTACTTTCATGAAGAGAGATGTAGAGAGAGAGAGGAATGGAAAAGAGGGGGAGACCAGCTGCCCGCTCTGGCGGTGGGCAGCAGAGGTGAGGGAAACAGCAGCAGCCCAACGACTGCAAAGTCATCCTCATCATCACGGGATCGACTGGTTTGTCAGGCAGGCAGGCAGACAGCATATCTCAGAATGTCTCTCCCTCTCTCTATCTCCCTCCCTCTTCCCCTCCGGCTATCGTCAGCTCTCCGTCTCTACCCACCTCCGTTGCCGACTTGTCGCATCATCCATGATCCCCCGATCGGAGCAACTCTGGCCAACGCGTGATTGGAAGACGCAGTCATCATTTGTACTTGCTCTCTCGTGCGGTGGAAGATGCACCTGTCATCTCCACGGCTGAAGAAGCGATGACACGGTCACCCTCCCTACCCGCAACCCCGAGATATCGACCATGTCGGAGGGATCAGATTGATTATTAGCCTGCAGTCTGAGGAGGGGGACTAAGCAACTCTGTTTGCTCGTACAACCCCCACGGAACTTCCCCGACCTGGACTGAAGCCAAGTCGGATTCCGTTTGCATGTCCGGATTTGGCAGATGGGCTCCCATGCCGTTACAATGACGACGGCACGTGCTACATTGCGATGACAAGCACACACAATCAGGGAAGATCGCACAATCTCGACTACAGGTGTAGCTGGTGGTCTGATTTGAGCTTCACGTTCTTTTCTGTTCTGTTGTTGGGTTAGAATGCCTGATAAGACACCAGACCGGCAATTCGATTTTGTTCCATTCCCAGTCCGCTCTCTTCGATGGGATTCGCCGCTTGGCCGCTTGGCTTCGAAGGGAGATGGCTCTATCCCCGTCCCACTTGCATCCCCCTCTTCTATTCGACCATCCACCCTGCAGATCACCGCATTTAGGGTTATTTTCTTCTCCTCTCTTCTGCCTCATGGCGCTGGAATCATCCGGGGACCATAATCTGGGTCTGGGCGAATCAGGTCGTACCGGTCCGCCCACCGTTACCCAAGGCTTTTGACTGCCTCCGACTGGTTCCAAGCTTCGACCATATTCACTCCCCCCGGATTCTGTATGACTATAAGTAACACTGTAACCTCTCGCTGTAGACATGTAGACCTCTCTGGCAACGTTGACCACCTGCATCAAATCTCCTTCCTCTCCTCTCCCGGACCCACTGGGATCACTCCCTAAGCACTTCTCTCCTCCTTCTGCCCCCTTTGTTTATCCTTCACGTTTATGGCCATGACCACCAAATCTGATCAACCCACAAAAGACCTCATTGCAGATGGTCGGTCCTCCATCCAAGGGGTCACCCACCATGCCGAGGACATTGTTGACGGCCGGGAGCCCTACGGCCCACCCGGGATCCGGGGTCTCATCGCCAATCCCTTTGTACTCCTGTGTGCCGGATGCTCAACCCTGGGAGGTCTGCTCTTCGGGTATGACCAGGGTGTGGTCTCTGTGATCCTAGTCATGGACCAATTCCTGAAGCGCTTTCCCGAGGTAGCCGAGGGACACTCAGGCTCCGGGTTCTGGAAGGGGTTGATGACAGCAATGATTGAGTTGGGAGCACTCATAGGCGCCTTGAACCAGGGTTGGATCGCGGATAAGATTTCGCGACGATACTCCATCATCGTGGCAGTGATAATCTTCTTGATTGGTTCTATTCTGCAGACGGCAGCGATGGACTATGCCATGTTGACAGTTGCCCGGTTTATTGGTGGTCTGGGAATCGGCATGCTGTCCATGGTGGCCCCATTGTACATTTCTGAGATCAGTATGTATCCGTTATTGCAGGAGGACTGACATTCTTGATGCTAATATTTGCTGCTACGCATAGGTCCTCCCGAGTGTCGCGGTACCCTCTTGGTGCTGGAAGAGTTCTTCATTGTGCTGGGAATTGTCATCGCATACTGGATCACATATGGCACTCGATACATGGCCGGTGAATGGGCCTGGCGCCTGCCGTTCTTGCTTCAGATGGCCCCTGCTATCATTTTGGTAGCTGGAGTCATTGTTTTGCCGTTCTCGCCGCGCTGGCTTGCCTCCAAAGGCCGAGAGGAGGAAGCCCTGCAGAGTCTGTCGCGACTGCGGCAATTGCCTGCGACGGATAAGCGTGTGCGCCAGGAATTCATGGATATCAAGGCTGAAGTACGCTTTCACCAGGAGATCAACGTGCAAAGGCACCCCAGTCTCCAGGATGGTGGACTGAAGAGCTCGCTGCTGTTGGAGATGGCCGGCTGGGCCGACTGTTTCAAGAGCGGATGTTGGCGGCGAACCCACGTGGGTGTAATGCTCATGTTCTTCCAGCAGGTACGCTCCCATTCAGCTCTCTATTTACTTGATAGACTTTCCAGGTCTAACATGATCATAGTTCGTCGGTATCAACGCCCTTATCTACTACTCTCCGACCCTTTTCCAAACCATGGGCCTAGACTACGACATGCAACTGCTCATGTCCGGAATCCTCAACGTCCTGCAGCTGGTCGGTGTGGCCACGACAATCTGGACGATGGACAGCATCGGCCGTCGCCCGTTGCTTCTCTGGGGTGCAGCCATCATGGCTCTCTGCCACATCATTATCTCCGTTCTGGTCGGCCTCTACTCGGACAACTGGCCTGCTCACCGGGGACCCGGCTGGGCCAGTGTGGCTCTTCTTTTCGTGTACATGATTGCCTTTGGGGGATCGATTGGTCCTGTTGGCTGGGCTATGCCGTCCGGTAAGCAGAAATTCTCATTGCTGGACACGCACAAGAACAAGGATACTAACAAGCCCCCCGTTAGAAATCTTTCCCTCTTCGCTCCGCGCCAAGGGAGTGGCTCTGTCCACCTGCTCCAACTGGCTCAACAACTTCATCATCGTAAGTGACGCAGCTCGAGTCGTGATTCACCTCCATTAACGCATCCCCAACAGGGCCTGATCACTCCACCCCTCATCCAAGACACCGGCTACGGGGCCTACGTCTTCTTCGCCGTCTTCTGTGTTCTCACTTTCCTATGGACCTTTTTCTTCGTCCCCGAGACGAAGGGGCGCACCCTCGAGCAGATGGACCACATCTTCAAGGACAATTCCAGTGAAGCCGATCGCGATCTTCGCCGGGCGGTTGAGGCTCGGATACTGCGGGAGGAGGAGCGGGAGGAGGAGACCCAAGGCACTTCTGTTTGAGCGGATTTCTCAATCTAGCCCTCTTTCTTTGTCTCATCGAGGATCAGACAGGGTGCGAGTCATCTGCAGCTTCACGTCCACTGGTGGATCCGTGCGCTGCAGCTTCAATTCTTCATACATAGCGTTGATTAGGTAGTCCCAGGGTTATGAAATTACGATTTCCAATTTTCATGATTGGGTTATTTTTCTTGTAATGTAGACTTGTTATTTTGTTGAGCGTCCCCGTGTCCAGACTACCAGATAAGTATAACCAGAGATCCTGGATTGAATTATGCTTGCTACTTCGTGTGTAGGACAAAGATTTCAATGCGATGCATGCAGTGTAACCGTCGATCCGCCTTGCATCATGCGGGGAAAACCACAAAAGGTCGCCTTAACCCCGTCCACTTCCGCAACTTTCCAACTTCGCTCACACCCGCTCAAAAGGAGAGCATTATCACCCAACATGTGGTCCAAGCACTTGATTCTACTAAAAGTCATCCTCGACACGGCCCTTGCGACTTCAAACCCCGAAGCATTCGATGCGACCACCCTTGCTGAGTTCATCGAGAAGGAAACCCCAATCGCCTGGAAGGGGATTCTCAACAACATCGGAGCAGATGGAGCACTAGCACACGGCGCCTATCCAGGCATTGTGGTCGCCTCACCCTCCAAATCAGACCCTGACTGTAAGCATCCCTCCGAGTCCTACGAAGAAGCTAACAAACCTTGGCAGATTTCTATACCTGGACACGAGATGCGGGGCTGACCATCCCCGCCATCACCGCCCATCTGACCGACGACGGGGACGACACCTCCATCGAGCGCATCCTCCAACAATTCGTCACCTCGCAAGCAACCCAGCAAACCATCTCCAACCCTTCCGGCTCCCTAGCCGATGGCACCGGGCTGGGCGAGCCCAAATTCCACGTCAACATCACCGAGTTCACGGAGGCGTGGGGGCGCCCGCAGCGCGACGGACCTCCCCTGCGCGCCTCCGCCCTCATCGCCTACGGGAACCACCTCCTCGCCCACGGCAAGACCGCCCTCGCCCGATCCAACATCTGGCCCATCGTCCGCAACGACCTGGCCTACGTCGCCCAGTACTGGAACGAGACCACCTTCGACCTCTGGGAGGAGGTCCGCGGATCCTCGTTCTTCACCACCGCCGTCCAGCACAAGGCGCTCGTCGAGGGCCAGGTGTTCGCGGCGGCGGTGGGCGAGACGTGCGCCGGCTGCGCGGTGATCGCGCCACAGATCCTGTGTCATCTCCAGCAGTATTGGGACGGCACGGCGGCAGTCATTTCTAACATCCCAACCAGCGGGCGCTCGGGGCTCGATGCGAATTCCATCCTTGCTGCGGTCCATACCTTCGATCCGGAGGCGTCGTGCAATGATGATGGTGGTGGCACCTTCCAGCCGTGCTCACCCCGTGCGTTGTCAAATCACAAGCATGTGGTCGACTCGTTCCGATCTCTGTACAAGGTGAACCAGGGGCGTGGGGCTGGCACGGCGGCGGCGGTGGGGCGCTACGCTGAGGATATCTATCAGGGGGGCCATCCATGGTATGTCGTGCTGAGTCTTTCCCGGTCCTACTACTGATGAGAAGCTAGGTACCTCACGACCCTTGGCGCGGCTGAGCAATTGTACGACGCCCTATACCAGTGGGACCGACAAGGCGTCATCGAAGTGACGGCAGTGTCTGCGCCTTTCTTCGCGGACCTCCTCCGCGACATCGTCCCTGGGTCATACCCACGAGCCTCGGATAAATACGCGGCCATCCGCGATGCGGTCAGGCGGTATGCGGACGGCTTTGTCTCGGTGGTCCAGCAGTATACCCCGGCGGATGGCGGGTTGGCGGAACAGTTCGACCGCAACACCGGGCAGCCGGTGTCGGCGATCGATCTGACGTGGTCGTTTGCGGCGTTCCTAACGGCCACGGCGAGACGCAGCGGTGCTGTGCCTTCGTCCTGGGGCGCGTCCGCGGCAGAGCCGGCCCGGGCGACGTGTAGCGCGACGAGCGTCCCGGGGCAATATGCTACGCCGGTTGTTGGATCATGGCGGGTGCATGACGAGCTGAAGTGATTGACTCGCACCATGCGGCCTCAGCACACGGCAACTAGAATGATGAATCGTGCTCCAGGGGCCTGAGTATCTTTGATGCGTGTCTGGATAATCTAGAGCAGGTTATATGAGCGACACAAGAACAAAATCGAGCAAAAACATACAACAGAAGGGATTCGCTGGTGGTCACCCACCCAACTACTAACCTCCCGGCGTGTGGCTTGAGTACGGCTGAGCGGACGGGAAGCCCTATTTTCCACACCCTATGGTCGTATGTGCTGGAACTTGCTCCTTACTATAATATTACCCTGACATCATTGATACATGCAATAAGATAGTCCTGATATCCTCTAACTACCATGAATGAACCTAAGCAGACAAGATTATCATTTGGCTGAAGAATATATACCCAGCCGCACAACACCGAATTTTCTCATAAAGATATCACCAAGCATGTGAGGACTCCTCCAATCTTGAAATTGATAGGGATTTCGAAAGAACCTAATGAATGCGGGGGGAACTTCTACATCTTGTAATAAGTCTTCACATATTTGAGAGGGAGATCCTATACTTAGTTGCTTCTTCTCGATTTACCCGCGGGAGTCAACGTTTTGAGACTTGCGCCCCTACGCCCATAACAGAGTGGGGCTTAGATTGCGCTATGAGCACTAGACAGTCCATCTGCGCCTCTTCACTGCCAGCCACCGAATAGACATCAAGAACCCAGCCGAGGCCTTGAGTCTAGTTATTAGCACAGCCCCTCGGAGAGACTATCATTATAAAGGGAGAAGCGCGCCAGCAGCAGCCGCAATCTCAGTAATATTCCCATTTCCCTCCTCCGCTCATCTTCTCTCCCGCTGGGACGATATCAATAAGTCCCGTAACCACCGACTCCCAAAAACTCTATTCCGTGCGCAGTGTATCGATTTATCATGGAGGGATCTCCGCATTCCAACGACCAGTACACCGTGGGATGGGTTTGCGCCTTAATCGACGAACTAGTAGCTGCAATGGCGATGCTAGATTGCGAGCACGGAAATCCACAAACCCTTCCCCGGGCAGACAACAACACCTATGTCCTCGGCAGCATAGGGCATCATAAGGTGGTCCTTGCGTGTCTCCCGCTTGATGAGCAAGGGCACATATCGGCAGCACGGGTCGCCACCGACATGATACATGCGTTCCCGCAAATTCGCTTCGCTCTCGTCGTGGGGATCGGTGGAGGGATTCCTCATTACAATCATGACTGCAGCAAGACTGAAGATATTCGGCTCGGTGACGTGGTCGTCGGCTGCAACAGCGAGACTGGCGGTATTGTGCGCTATGACTTCGGCAAGAGATTGGCGGACGGCACCTTCAGGGAGACGTATGCGCTCAATCGCCCCCCTCGACTATTGGCTACTGCGGTATCGAATCTAGAAGCACGGCGTAGGCTGGGCCATTATCGCCTCGGTCCGATCGTCGACAAGGCGCTGGAGAAATCTTCATGTCTGCGCGACGATGGTTACGGACCGCCAGATCGTGCAACAGATCAGCTATTCCATTCAGAATATGTGCACGTATCAGAAGATGGCACTTGCATGAAATGCGATGAGGCGCAGGCAATCCACCGGGGTGATTCCCGGAGGGAAGGTTCCGGGCCTGCTGTTCATTACGGAGTGATTGCAAGTGGCAGTCAAGTCGTAAAGCATGCTCCAACACGGGAGCAGATCAGGCAAAAATATAACGCCATTTGTGTCGAGATGGAGGCAGCAGGCCTGATGAATACCTTACCTTGCCTGGTCATCCGGGGCATCTGTGACTATGCCGATTCACATAAGAATGATCTGTGGCAGAAGTATGCGGCGATTACAGCAGCTGCGTATGCAAAGACCTTGCTGGGAATCATAGGGGTGCAAGGGGTAGAGTCTCAAGAACGAGCACAAGAGGTACTGAGTAAAGGTCAGTACGCTCCGGGAGGAACCATTATCTGAGCTAGAACCCATAATAATCATCCTTGTGAATTCATAGTGCAAAATACCTTGTCCAGCGTAGTTAACACTGTCGCTGAGCTCAAAGTAATTGCAACGAAGGATCAAAACTCAAAGATTCTCGAGTGGTTGTCTCCATGCAATTTCAGCGCTCAACTACAAGATATCCTAAAACAACGGGAGAGGGGAACGCTTCGGTGGTTCTTGGATTCGGACGAGTTCCAGGCCTGGCTCAAGACAGGTAAACAGACTTTGTTCTGCCCAGGCATCCCTGGCGCTGGGAAAACGGTTGTCGCGGCTACCGTTGTCGAGCATCTCCATGCCATAGCCCAACAGAACCTTACTGTGGGTTTAGGTTTCCTTTTTTGTTCCTACCGACCGATCTTGTCCCAGACAGTAGAGTGCCTGCTGCGTGTTTTATTGAGACAACTTGTGGCCCATCGAAGAACAGTTCCGTCTCACATCCAACAACTTCACGATGAGTGTGCTATCATAGGTGTTCAGCCTCCTTTGGAGAGGATATCAGACGCACTATTACAAACTGCACGGATGTATGAACGTGTGTACATCATCATCGACGCTCTGGATGAACTTTATGCTAGTGATTATGATGAGCATTCGAGACTGCTGACAGAGATGTTCAGACTCCAGCAAGATTCACCAGTCAGCATTTTGATCACCTCACGATTCAAGTCCGGTATAATCCCACCAAGTCACGATATCCAGGAGAGGGTCATAGAGGCACACGACGATGATTTGGTCCAGTATATTAATACTAGGCTGGAGCGTTTGCGCGTAAACTTGAGAGGCAATATTCCACTTCAGGAACAGATAAGGAGCAATGTCTCCAGAGCATCGAATGGAATGTTTTTGCTAGCGAGACTTCACATGGATCATTTGAGAGATAAGACTTCCGTTGGCATGCTGAAAAAATCTCTTTCAACACTCTCCCAAGGCAACTTTGGACTAACAGAGACCTATCAACGAGCAATGCTGGTCATTCAACATCTAGCGGAAGATCTCCGTGCGCTCGCCATGAATGCTCTGTCTTGGGTCGCCTATAGCAGGACAGCACTCTCATCTACTGAGCTACGCCATGCACTTGCAACTCAACCTGAAATGTCCGACCTTGACACAGACTATCTGTCAGATGTCAATCTGATTATATCTTCCTGCGGCGGGTTAGTCCTGTGGGACAACGAAACAGACGTCGTACGCCTCGTTCATTACACATTGTCCGACTTCCTATGTTCCCAGCAGAATCTGCCGCATGCTCATATGTATATCATGACCACCTGCATTACATATTTGTCTTTCAACTCGTTTGAAATTGGACGTTGCTCAAGCAACGATGAATTTAAGATGCGCCAGAAGTTTTATCCTCTCTACCGTTACAGCGCGAAGCACTGGGGCTTTCATGCAGCCAATATATCTTCTGCATCGGTCACTTCAATATGTCTGGGCTTTCTTCGGAAGGCTGGAACTGTGGCAGCTGCTGCTTAAATGAAGATGGGGATTTTTTCGCCGTTTCCTGTCAATTCGGCCGAGGCAGACTTCATGTCCCTTTTCCAACACGACCACCTCTCTTCAATCCCATGTGGTATAACGGCCGTCCATCTTGCCGCACACTTTGGTCTCCTGGAAGTATTGAAGTCCCTAGTGCAGGCTGGGCATGATGTGAACAGCCGTGACTCAAAGCACCAGACTCCTCTTACCTATGCAGCCTTGAGAAAGCAGTGGTCAACGGTGATATATCTTCTAGATAGTCTAGGTGCCGATTCAAGCCTGGCAGATTCTACAAGTAACTCAGTTCTAGCTCTTGCTGCTAAGGCAGGGGAGACGTCGGTAGTCCGCCGTTTGCTCGCAAGAGGAATCCGAGCTGGCTCCGGAGGTAGCCCTTCCGGCACGGCGCTAGGGCTCGCATCAAAAGGCGGTCATGTCTCCGTGATGAACTTGATAATCGATAGCGGCGTAGACGTCAATATTTGCTACTACGATCCGGAAGAGCATGGTGAGACGAGCCCTTTGAAGCTTGCTGTTAAGTATGGTCATCTGAATGCGACAAGGCTTCTCTTGGAGAAAGGATGTTTACTCGATGGCGGACCCAGTGGCGGTAGCGGTGATGGTAGTGAGCTCCTGTGTGAAGCAGCCCGCGCAGGGAACAAGGAAATTGTGAAATTACTTGTTGAGGCTGGGGTCAATACGCATGACGAGTCGTACGACGACACCCCCTTGACTGCTGCAATATGGGGCGGAAATCGAGACATCATTTCCTTCATTCTTGCAAAGGAACCCGACGTAAATGCCGAGGACCCCGGAGGTGACACGCCGATGATGGTCGCTATCCAGTCTCGCGATATTTATTCCGCCACCCTTCTCATCGACCGAGTGGCTGACTTGGGTCGATATCTTGTCGATGCTGTGGAACTGGGAAACGGGTCTCCTGTCATATCATTGCTCAACAAAGGGGTGGTTCCTAATATGTGGGAAGATGAAGATGAAGATTCCATCGAGTATACTGCGCTAGGGATGGCAGCGAAAAAAGGGCACATCAGGATAGCAGAGTTGCTTCTTAACGCAGGTGCTAACCCCGCTCGACATGATAAGGTGATGGAAAACGCAATCTTCCCGGCTGCGCGCGAAGGACATTATGGTATGGTTTCATTGATCATGGCCAGCGGAGCGAATCCAAGGACGAAGAATGCCGTGGGAAATACAGCGTTGTTCTACGCGGCACAGACCCCGAGTGAACCACTGGTCGAGCTTTTGCATGAACGAGGGAACGATTAGAACGCCAGAAATGAGCTTCTAGAAACACCACTATTCTTGGCTGCTAGAAGTGGACATCTCTCAGTCGTGAAATTGTTATTGGAGCGTGGAGCGGAGCTGGATCCGTTGAATCTCCTTGGTGAGACTCCTTTCCTCCAAGCAGCAAGAGCTCTCCGATGTCAGAGGCCCACCAAGCAGTCTGTCGCCATGCTCAAGTTTTTCCTTGAGCGCGGTGCAAACCCCGAACCAGAGCCGAAGCCCGCCTACCCCGAAATGTTGTTAGAAATCTTAGATCACGGTATCCGCAGTCTAGAAGAGCACTGTGAGGGGCGATGGCAGAGGAGTCGAGCGAAGATAAACGAGGCGCGTGCGTTATGGTCTCCATCGGTCGGATGTTTACCAGAGGATCACTTCTCCCTGTTTATCGACCATCTGAACAAAGGGGAAAGAGTTTACCCCTGCGAGGTTCGAAGCCTGAAATGCCTCAGGAAGGGCTGGATACAAGGACACGAGGGACCTCTTACTTGGGCAATCGATGCTGTTTGCACCGAGGTTATCAGATGTCTTCTCGCGAAGGGTGCTCGTATCGAAAGTACTTGGTTGAATGGCCCGGAAAGGTTGAACTGCGCCATCGACAGACGCCACATGGAACTGATCCGGATGTTGCTGGATCACGGCGTTACGGAAGCGGAGGTTCTGGACGCTCTTCCTCACGCTGCGGCAGACGGCCAGATAGAGACCTTATCATTGCTACTCAACACAGATTTCGATCGACGGACCTCCGAATGGAATACTGCTGTGAATTCTGCTATAGCTCTTGCAGCACGCGAAGGTCATTTGGAGTCGGTTGTCCTCCTCCTTGGAAACGGGTTCATTCTGCAGAATCCGAACGTTACAGGTAGGGCTGTACTTGAGAGCGCTGTACAGTATGGTAACCAAGAACTGACTCAGATGTTGCTTACAATGGGCGTCTCTCATAGCATCAAAAACGATCGATCTCAGACGCCACTCTTTACCGCAGCACATGCGGGACAATTAGCTGTGGCCAAAACGTTGCTAGATAACGGGGCGCACACAGAGGAAGTGGATTCCAAGGGTCGCACCCCCTTGTTCTATGCAGTAAAAAATGGGCATGACACTATGGTCCAGCTCCTACTCGTTGGTGGAGCAAATCCAGATCCCGAAGACTATGACAGAGAGAGACCTATTCTTTGGGCATCAGGGAGTGGCTATGATACTATTCTCAGGTTACTTCTACAGAAAGGCGTCAGCGCCGAGTCCCGGTCGGACGGATCGAAGTCTCCAATCATCTGGGCGTTGAAAAAACAGGCCCAGCGGCGGGATAGGAAACACAATCCGCGACAAATATTCAGAAAAGAGGATTCGGACACTGGTGACTACCAGGCTGTAGTTTCCCAGCTGGTCGAGTTTGGTGCTGACGTCAATACGAAGGATGAGACGGGAACACGTCCACCTCGCCTATGCATTGCAACACGGATGTGAAGCGAGTGTCAGACTTCTACGCCAATCCGGTGCAGTTGAAAATCCTTGTGAAGAAGCGGGTCCTCCCTAGGGACACGATGGCTGTCGTCTAGCAGAGCAGCTCCTGACGGATTTCCTAAGCAAGACTCTGACCATGAAATGGAAGTGTAGCCATCGGTCATGTAAGAGACAAATCACTCATTAAGCCCTCAAGAATCTCAATACAATGACCTGAAGGAGCACTTGATCAATCGTTGTCTACTACAGTTCCATGTTGAAACTCCTGTCGCCACCTGCGTTTGAGCAGTGAGTTTCCTAATCACTGGCTCCAAGAGGAACCTCTCATAGCCCGGTTGTTGACGAATGTTCAACAACGCATTTCTCGAGCTTAGAGGCAGCACTTTACCTCAACTCAGTGATTATTTGTGCATAGATAGGGGCCTAAAGAGCATACTTCTGATACTCGCATTTGAAAGCATGTCCACATACCAAGGGAAGGAGGGGAACAGTAGTTTCTGCTAATCTAGAGGCTTCATGCCAGCAGCAGGGGAAAGGAAGGCGAGGCAGGATTCAAGATCATCCAGATTGCCCGTGCGATTGTAGCACGACGAGATGTGGGCTGAGAAATTGTTTCAAGTACCCAGAGCGGTCGGGATAGTTGATCGGGGTGGGGTTTTTTTTTTTTTTTTTTTTTTTTTTTTTTTTTTTTTTATTACTTGTTCTATACGTCTCCGGTCTATAATGGGCCTGCATGTCGACGTAACTACTCTGCAACGGATAGCTTCCTGAACAGAGTCGCTTGCGTTGATCTATTTTCTACCGTTATGCTTCCAACACACCGGCTATCAAATGAATAGCCCGACATACCGCCACCATCCAATTCCTCACGGCAAGCTGAGCTCTCAGTAACCCGACCATCCATTCGACCTAAACACGGCATTTCGGCTCCGTGATACCGTCAAACTTGTCCTGCTCGGCCTTGAAATCCTTACCGATGCTCTCCAGGTCGTCCTCAGTCACGGCGCGACGCGCGGCGGCCGCGGCCGAGAAGTCGTCCGCGTCGCGCAGGCCCCCGCCCCCAATGAGACCCAGGAGCACCATTGGGGCGGAGGTGGGGTCGGAGACAATGCTCTGGATGCCCAGGGCGACGTTGCCGGTGGCAGCGACGGTCTCGAAGGCGCCGTCGAGCAGCTCCAGCTCGGGGGTGAGGTCGTCCAGGAAGGGGAGGAAGGCGAAGGCGATGCCCAGGATCTCCAGGACGAGCTTAATCTTGTCCTCCTTGGCCTGCTTCTCGCCGATGGCCTTGACGCTGGCCATAGAGGCGATGGCCTGCTGCAGCATGAGGACGGGCATGGAGAAGGTCTCGAGCAGGTCCTGCATGCCGCCGGCCCAGGCGCCCAAATTGAGATCCAGCTCGCGGGCGAGGATGTTGTTCTGCAGGGTACCGATGGAGGGCCACGCCGCGGTGATGATGTCCTTGGGGTTCGTCACGTCCATCTGATTGGACTTGACGGCCTTGGGGATGTTGACGTAGCGGTAATCGGTGCCGTCGGAGCAGTCGCCCGGCGTGCAGTGGCCGATCTGGCGCACCGGACCCCCCTGGTTGCCAAAGGTCACCCACGTCTGGTTGATGCCGTAGGTGCTCGCCAGTTCGCCGTAGAACCCGCTGGCGTTCTTGAGCGTGTACGTCATGGTGAAGGCTTCGGCGCCCAGCAGCTGCCGGTAGGTGAATGGGCACTGCTGCGTCGAGGTCGGCCCGTAGCCCTCGCAGGTGCAGTCGAAGTACTTGTTGCCGGGGCCGCCCTGGGGCTGACTCGGCGTCGAGCCGGCCATGAAGGCCTTGAGGGCGTCAGGGACCATGTCCCGCACATACTGCTGGTAGTACCCGAAATACTTGTCGTAGTCCTTGTTGGCCGCGGTGTAGTTGGCCAGCGAGGCGTTCAGCGTGGTGTAGAGGGTGCCCATGGCGTAGTAGGGCATGCATTGGTCGGGATAGCTGCCCAGCGCGTTGTTGAGCTCGTCGATCGTCGCGTACTGCTGGGTCAGGTCGCAGTTCCAGGTCGACAGACACGCCGGGTCGGTGGAGTCATCGTCGCAGGAGAGAATCTCCGGCGCATAGTCGTCCAGGTAGGCGGCCAGGGCGCTCCAGAAGGGATGCCCGATTGCCTGCGTGTTGTTGGCCGCGAGGATGATGTTGTTGTCGTCGATATTGCTGATCATCTCGACGGCGCCGATGGTGATCAGGTTCCACACGTACAGGCCCGAGTTCTCGCCCTGATCCAGGACGATCCGCTGCTGGCAGTTCTGCGTGTCGACACAGGTCTCCAGGTAGTTATCGTACCACGAGTAGAGGCCGGCGCCTGCAATGGTGAGGTTCGTGTTTTGGTTCAGGATCACCGCCCAGGCGAAATTGCAGAGCTCGGGCGACGCGGTGCAGGTGGCATCCGGGAAGCTGGGGTCGTTGGTGAAAAGGCCCACCGATGCGTTGAAAGGCCCCGGAGACTCAGTGGCATCGGTAAATTGATAGTATGGAGACTCGGTCTGGATCATGCCGGCCAGGGTATTGGTGGCGTTGACAAAGTTGTACTGGTAGAGGATGGAATGCTCCGAGGCGGTGCCGTACATCCAAGTTGGCCCTGAGGTCGACTCGACCAGCATTCCTCGCGCAACTCCAACGGTGATCTGGGTGTTGGCTGGGTCGTCAATATCGTGGTCGGCCACCCACAGCCACATGTTCTCAAAATAACCATTGGACTCCGGGGTGATGTGGAGCATCAAAGAGGCAGCGACACAGCCTGGTGCAATCGCGTCGTTGATGGGACAATCGGCCAGCTGCAATTTGGTGCCATATGCGCCTCCCACGCGGAAGTGCGAATCCCAGATACCCACCGACCCCTGGATCTCGGCCTGGACGTTCCATTCCATCATCACCAAACCCGGCAGTTCTCCAATGGAGGTGAAAAGCATGTCGCTGATCTCTACCGTTCCCACGTCGCCGGGGTTGCCCACTTGGATCATGACTTTAGGGCTGGTCATGTCGGCGAAGTAGTCGCCCGAGGCCACAAGCTGCGACCACACTTGCCCTGTGATGCGGGTATGGGCTGGGATAACGATCGTGGAGGTGACAATGTAGGAGCCTGGAGGGAAATAAATCAGGTTGTCGGTCGTGGCCAGCGCCAGCGCCGCGACAATGGCCGCGGTATCATCAGTGGTTCCGTCACCAGCAGCGCCATGGTCTTTGACGCTGACAATGCTGCCCACCGAGAGGTCTTCATACTGCGGACGACTTTTGTAGAAGTACGAGTCTCGGTAGATCACCTGGTCCTGAGCAGCATCCAGAAGAGGTGGTGGGGGGTTCTGGACATTCACTGTGTAGGACCCGAAGGACTGGGAAGCATCTTCCTGGAGGTTCCCGATAACCACAAAGTCCACGTCACCATTCGGAAGGTCGAGGCTCGAGCCATCCGTGAAGGCAACCATGGTATCAACGCCGTTGACCCCGATGTTGTCCAGAGTGATAATGCTGGTTTCCAGAATGGTCGACTGCTCGAAGTTCGCCTGGATGGCAATGGGGGTCTCGTCGAACATAGTATCGAGGATGTAGGTTGATCCCGTGGGCTGACCCGAGATATCCTGGGGGTTGATCAGGCTGATTCCGATAGGAGAGCTGGAGAGGTGCAATCCGGACCAGGTCCAGCCCCAGTCCCAGATCAGGCCGATGCTCGCATTGGTTTGACCGAAGATCTGGAAGTCGCGGACGGTGTACTGCTGGTTACCACCATAGATACCATACGCTCCCCCCGAGATTGTGCAGCCTGACATGAAGCCACCGCTGCCATTTTCGGTGTAGAGGCCCATCTGGGTGGTTCCGGCGCTCGAGCTGGCACTGATGTACACGTTGGTCAGGGAGGTCGCTTGAGCAACCTGCCAGTGCAGTCCGGCCGCACTCGCGGTGGTAGTCTCTGAGATATCAATGATGAAATTTCGGACCTGGCGGTAGAAATTGGATTGCTACCGATGACGGACAGGTCAGTTCTGTGTTGCCAGAGGGATCGCGTCTCAGGAGTCGACCTACTTCAATGTACCACTCATTTCCATTATCGTTGGGAATATAGACGTCACTTTGAATTGCTCCCAGGCCAACGAACGAGGGAGAGGTTTTGATGATCGGAAGATCATTCGCATCGCCCACCAGTTGAGAGTAGTAAGAGGCATTGAGGGGCGAGGAGATGAGGTATGTGCCCGGCGGGAAATAGATGAATGTGCCTCTAGTCGAAGATGATTCACAGTTTTCCTGGCAACTTCCTCCGAAGGAAATGGCGGCGTTGATGGCATCGGTGTCGTCAGTCACACCATCACCCCTGGCTCCAAACGCGGGATCGGTGACGTCTCGATAGACCGGGTAGGATGAATCCCACCCCATGGGCGGGCGGCCATGGTCAACCTGGGCCGGCCAGTAGCCCGATGATGAGTCTATGGTGTCCCGCTTCGCCAAGGTCAGAGGCTTAGGCACCCTAGTGAAATGACTGTAGCTCTTGTGAAGAGTACCATTCCTCAACTGCTGAGCTGCGTGGCGTTCAGCCAGGAGCGCGGCTGCGGCTCGGAGGCGGGCATCCAACATAGGCGCCGCCGGCTGGTCAGACCTTTTGTGCTGGGTCGAGGCATAGGTAGCATTGGAATGGCGCGATTCATACGTGTTGCGCTTGGGGTTCGCCACTCGCCAGGCATTGTACTCGGATTGCTGCGCTACAGCAGCTTCTACGAGCTTCTGAGCCTGCCGCAGCTCACTGCTCGAGACATTGAGGGAACGTGGCCGGGGGGGATTGGCAAGGGCCCGCCTTTGATGCCACAGATGGAAATCAGAGTCGGCGATTGGGGAGGCCTCAATCAGACTGAGACAAATAGCTAGAAGCACGAACAAAGAGAATGTCCTTCGCATTAAAGCTACCATTTTTTGGCATGCTAGGATGACGAATAAAAGAGAACGATTGTTGGACTAAGAAGTCAGGCTTAGGGAAGGAACTTGGCACAGATGGCCACGGTCAAGACGCAATGAACGAATTGAAGGAACTGTGATGAATGAATGAATGAATCGATGAACGAATAGAAAAAGAGTGACTGGCGAAACAAAAGCCTGGGGGTGAGTGATGAGGAGCTTTCCGCTGTCAGTCGAGTCCTTGAGCGTCAAGAATATATACCACCGGGGTGAACAAGAGAACCCCTTTCCCAAAAAGTGCTTCCTGGGTCCAATCGATCCGAGGACAAAGAGACCCCTTACGAGAATCTTTCGCTAATTGCGATATCATGAGAGTGAGATAAATGATTAACTTTAGTCGAAGTCGACAATTAGGGCTAATGCACTCCGAGGGGTGTGGCAAACCCGCCCCCACCTACTGCGATAAGGCTAGATCTAGTCTATAGTATGACTATATTGTACTGGTTAAGTTAACTATACTATGTCCATCCTGCTGAGAAATTTGCTCCCAGACCCCCTCAGCCCCTGGCCCTTGTTCTGTATGAACAGTACCTCCTGTATTTATTCGATTAAGCTGGGAACTCTTGCTCCCCTGTTGAAGCCCTCGTTTCTTATCTCCTTTCCTATCCCATCTTGTCCTCTTGTTTCTCTCGTTTTCGGCTACGCCAAACCAATCACCCAAGATGTATTCCATTTCTCGACTTCTTTGCCTTACTCTCGGGGTTTTTCCTCCTGTCTTCGCCCAGCTGGAGACAATTGGTGTTACAACTTCTGGAGTAACTCCCACTAGTTCCGTCTCATCGACGATCATCTCGACCGCATCTTCATTGTCAAGTTCGACTGTCTCGGCCTTCCCATCGTTCACTACCGCCTCACCCAGTGTCATCACTCCGGGGGATCCGTTGGTGCTCACCACGGTGTTTACCCAACCTTCAGGATGCGCCGGGGGGATGACCGAAATCCCAGCATGGTCGACTGAGCTCTGGCAGAACATTGTCAATCCAGTTCCTACCTTGACACTTTCATCCTGCTATCCCAGCCAATTCTTCTATAGTGCGGTGGCTACTAGTGTCTTGCCCCCGTACAAGCAGCTGGTGTGTCCGCAAGATTGGGAGACTTACAATATCACCGACACGTACATCGTCTGTTGTCCCAGGTATGCTATATGCTCGTCACTCAAACTTTCCATTACATTCCAGACGAAACTAACTGGAAATTTACCCTTGGAACAGCAACTATGGGGTATATATGCCTAACTACCAGGACTCCACGCGTCCAGGACTAGGCGCTATCTGCACTTCTAGCATCTGGCCCAACGTGTTGATGGACGTCACCAGCTATGACACTGCGGGATCGGCCACTGTCATTCCCACCATCGCTGACGATGATGGAGCTCTCGTGTTTGCAACAGGATTCGATGGAACCAGAGCCACGGCTATCGCCTCGTCCACCACTATGGAGTCCTCGACCACGTCCCCTACCAGCACCACTTCGATTCCTTCCCTCAGTGGCACTGTCCCTGCGACGACCCTTCCCCCCCAAACCACCTCAGCCACCGCAACTCTAACCGCTATCTCGCAGCTGCCTTCCTGCGGCGTAAGCCCCCTGCTTCTATTCTTCAGTGGAGTCTACCTGCTAAATCCATTCTCGCGCAGCAAACCTGCTTCAACAACATGCTAGCGCAGTACGATAGCCTCGGCTGCACGACCTCCGACCCATCCTGCCTCTGCCGAAACATCAACTTCTACTACGGAATCCGCGACTGCGCCAACGCTGCCTGCGGGACCGCCGCGGCGAGCACGGTTCTGGCCTTTGAGAGCGGATACTGCACCTCGGCCATTGCCGCTGAAACCACGTCTCCGGTGACCACCAGTACCCCCACGACCAGTGCTGCAGCCAGTCCCACCGCAATCTCCGACCTCCCCACCTGCGGTCAGACCTGCTTCAACAATATGCTAGCCCAATACTCGTCCCTCGGGTGTAGTAGTCCGGACCCGGCCTGTCTGTGCGAGAACATAAACTTCTACTACGGCATGCGGGACTGCTCGAATGCCGCCTGTGGCACCGAGGTGGCCACCACCGTTCTGGCTTTTGAGAGCGTCTACTGTGCTTCTGCTACGGCGGCAGCTGCCACTGGCAAGTAAGATGTGAGCGAGGATAAGGATTGGTGGGGTGCCTACTGGAGAGGTAGTCTTACATGTTCACAGATGGGGGCTTCACTTCGATTTGGCGCCAGCCAGTGGTGAATTTCTCCTTTTTACCACGTGCGCCACATACTTGAGACATTCTAATCTAGTTTGAAATTTAATTCGTCCGTGTAGATCTCGAGTCTCTGCCCAGGTATCACTGATAAGGGTAACCCGATACAATATGTCAGTCAGAGTAAGCAATAACTGTGGTCTGCGTTGACAGGCACCCAATCCACTCCACGAGCCCCATGGCCTAGCGCAGCGTCGGAAATTTGGCCGGCCCTCAAGCAGGCATGCGGGAATTAGTAGTTTTTCTACAGAAATCTAAAAGCGCAGAGCAGAGACCGGATACCTTCTGTTATTGCTCACGGTGCACATCCCTCGGAGGCCTGCAGCTGTGCAGCTGAACTGTGGCGATACTGTCTGGAATTCAGGGGTCCATGTTTTACTGAGATAACAGCCTCCAAGTGGGGCCTCGGATCAGCCGCGTGAGGCTGTGATTGGATTGGTAGCGTACGTCGCGTGGCAGGAAGGGACTGGAGAAGAGACGAAATGAACCCCTGCGGAACTCCGGATCCTGGTGCAGCAACAAGTCTTAGCGTTAACAGCATGAAATTGGTCTCTTACTAGTTAATACTATAGCACTAGCCTACAGTCATTCAGGGTCCAGCCCGTTTGTTTTGAGTCCAAGCGCCGGCTAAGCACTACCAAGCACTAGCCAAGCCCTAATCCGCTAAGAAAGACGGCCACACTCTAGTCCAGCCCAAGGATTCGACTCTGCATGCATGCAATTTTGCCTACTAAGAGATGGCTCGCTTTCTTTGGACGAACTTCCTGGCTATCGAGAGGAAGGAAATTTTTGTGTATCTTGCAAATTGGCACCGAGAGTGCTTCCCAACGTCCGGAATAGGAGGAAGCACCTTCGATGCCGATCTATCCGGATGATGAACCAATACGCCTGATATGCCTCAACCAAAAGGACACATAGCTGAACAGTCAGGAGGCGAACGGAGCCTCAGTATCCTGTCTGGCCGAGCGCGGCAATAGACCCTCGGGTTGCTGTCAGCCCCCCGTTGGGACTTATCCCTGGGGTTGTTTCTCGCTCTCCACGCTCTTGCAATCTCTTTCCCTCCTGCCGTCTCTTCCTATAGCATTTGTCTCTCTCTGTCATTCGCTTACCCTGGGATGTTTCCTGGGAACTCACTCCTTGTTGCTGTCTTTCTCAGTCTCTTTCCTTAGGCAGTCACTCGTTATCTCACATTCATTATTATTGCTTTCGTTGTTCAGAGTACAATACACTCTCACTTTGTTCTCTCGTGTTCCGCGTATGCGCCAGACAAGATGAAGGTAGTTGACCTGCTTCTCCTCTGGTGTTCGGTCCTGTTGAATGGGGTGCTGGCCAACAACGAGGCGGCGCCCTACGAGCTGCTGCACTACTACTACGTCTACAAACTGGAATGGGACACGGGGGTGACCAAGACCATCGCGCCGGGCTGTGCCACCAGGTACGGACGCATGTGCTATTTCGACGAGTTTGCCAAGTACCTGATGAACTCTGAATGGCGTGCGGCGTACCGGCCGACCGCCGCGGATCACACCAAGACCCCGGACACGGGGGCCGTGACCAGGCTGTCGAGCGGCATCCCCCATTCTGCGCGGTACCAGCTGAGCCTACTACTGCCCCACATCAATGTCGACGCGCGATCCTTCCCCCTCGTCTTCGAGACGGTCCTCAACGCCGCCGACACCGCCATCGCCGCGGACGGCGTGAGCAAGGACGATCTGGAACAAGCGGTGGCCATGGCCCAGCAGGTCAAGGCGGCCCGCACGCCCCCCGTCTTCGAGATCCAGGAGGCGGCGTTCAAGGCTCGCCTCGGGGAGGCGACGTTTGATGACTGGGTCCAGGTCACCGCGAACGGGTTCAAGTGGCCCGAGACCTTGGCAGGAATCGACACCGCCATCCAAGAGGGTGAGCTCACGGCCGAGGAGGGCGCGACCCTGAAGGAAGATATTCGCTCCTTCTCGTTAACCTACGAGCATGATATTCTCACCGGAGAGGTCTCGGACCACAATCACTTAAATATCGTCAAGGCACTGGCAACGTCCATCACCAGTCTGACCCGCGCCATTGAGGAGAAGTTTCCGGCGAGTGATGACGCGTCGTCGCGGGCTTGGCCGTCGAGCGAGTGTGAGAGCGAGTTCAGCTCCTCCAGCTCGTCCTCCGAGTCGGACTGAAGGTCATACCCCTAGTTTTTGCTCGGGCGAGGTCCGAGATCAAAGAACATATCCCGGGGACTCGGGCAGTATCACTCGGCCGCATTCTCATTATGGGCCTACTGTACGCTTCAGAAGTTATCAAGGCTAGCTTAGACAAGCTCTCTGGGATATGATCTTGGAAGTTTGAGCTTCATGTACATGTAACTGTTGCTGGTGCCGCGTTCTAGATTTATGCTTGTTAGACAAATTCTCCTCTTTGGCTCCCGCCAGGCCTTCTAGGGCCTCCGATGATATACCGTACATTCAACAATTGAAGTACGGATGATCCATCCTATCCATTCTGACCAGGGTATTCCAGCGATGCTCTTGCCAAAACGCGTGGCGGTGCCGTCGCGCTTCGGGCAATCCCATAGGCCAGCTGCCGGTGTTTTGCATGATCTGGTCAATAATCTCCTGGGGGAGTCGGGCAGCAGCGCGCAGGGTCTCCCCGACCGCTTGTGCCCACCAGTGCTGCTGCTGCGGCGGCACATTACGGGTGGAGCAGATGCGATAGTGCGGGTCAACCAGATGCAATGTGATGGAACGATAATGCCCCGGGCGGCTGGAATCGGCCAGGGAGAAGGGCTCGACGCGGTGCTCGAGAAGGTTGGGAAATGCGATCACACGCCCTTGCGAGAGCGAAACTGCCCCTTTATCCTGCCATGTCCTTGCTGTGATATTGTCGGTATCGAGGTCGAAGCTTGAAAATCCTAAGATCTGTGCCAGTTCGTTCAAATCCGAGTAGGTGTTTTTCCCATATCTCCGGGCGGGCAGCAATCGGGGATGCCACTGCCACTTTCGCCCTTGCTCTTTGTACTCCCTATATCGATAGAAGCTTTCATCTAGCTTAGTATTCTGACGGAAGGCGATTCGGGGTTCAGTAATATTGTCGATATCGTATGCAAACACCGCAACAGCAACAGTGTGCTCGTTGAGCTGGCCTTCCATGTGCCAGTCCGTTCCTTTGTAGTCCCGACTGTCAGGGGTGAGCTCGATATTCTCCATGTTGACAATGATTTGTAGTCCCTGCAAACGGAAGGTGTCCTGGAGCCGAATTGTATAGGGTTTGTGGGGCGGTATGAGCGGCTCGTAGGGAATATCGTGCCAGTCCTTCCTCTCGCGGACGAGATCCACCACAGCTCTCTCGTTGTGGCGCGCCGTCTTCCACTCTTCGTAAGAAAATGCGGTCCCTGGCTCTGGGTGACAGAAACGCAGCAGCCGCTTGAGTTTGCCTTGGATCTTCCCCCACGTGTCTTGCTGCCAGTCGTCCGGGGCAGGAACGGGAGTGTCAGACCCGTCCTCAGGGAGCTCGAGATACTCCTTCGCGCGTTGCCAGAGGTCTGACTCGGGGGGCGGCAACGTCTTCTCTTCGTTTCCCTCCACGTCTGGATAGCAGTCCAGCAGATCTTGCGCCTCTCGGTGTCTTTTACGACCCTCGTCCGTGTCATCTCCCACACTGTCCAGAAGCGCTTCTCGCGCTTTGCGGTACATCCTCTTCCTTCCTGGCCCTGGAACCCGGAAGGCGAGCAGCCATTCGGGAAGCTCATTCTCCCATTCGACTCCATACGTGATGATCCGGAGCGGGACCGGCCCCAGCTGGCCTTGGTTCAGGATATCCTTCCAGCCGCGCTGTCCCTGCACCAGACAGTCGTTCCACAATGGAATCGCCCGGCTCATCAGCGTCTCGATTGCCCGGTAGAGGTGCTTGTGCATCGGGTGTAGATTGTTGATGTACGAGGTGAGGCGCACCTGCGTTGACCCTGCCTCACCGATGAACTCCACTTCACACGGTAGAGCCTGATAATTTGCGCTCCACCGATAGTGAGGCGCTGTTTCGTCATCGACATGCACATTCCGGGCCTCCTCAATCTGCCTCTGAACATCCACCGCATCGGTCCTCTTATCCACCTGAGTCGGCGCAAGGGAAGTCGCTCCCTGGTACGCACCCCACACATCCCCTATCTCCACTCGACCCCCATCCGCCAAAACCAGGCTCCGCCCATAAACCAGCGGAAACAAGGTTGGGTCGATGATACTCAATAGATGCCGTGACCGCCAATCCACCAGCCCGGATTGCATGAGGGCGCGGAGCACCGGCTTCACAGCGCGTCGGAACTCCCCGGCCAGCTCCCCCGTTCTTCGCGCAGGAACATAGTCAGACTTGCAAACACAGGACCCCGTGTCTAGCACCCGGATATGTCCCTTTTGACGATATTCGACGGCCTTATCGCGCAGTTCTCGGACGCACCAGGCCCAGGCCCGATCACTCAGCAGGGGATTCATCGCGAGGGAGGCGATGCTGTCTTGTCGCCAGCGCGCCACGGCCCCATCATCGAAGACATCGACATGCCAGTTCGGGCGGTCGGTCAGACGGTTCATGGCGGTTGTCATGGCCAGCTCTCGGGCGGTGACGGCGGGCGCCTGTCGCCACTCTTGGATGCCGTGGGCAAAGCGCGCGTCGGATGGGAGCTCGTATGTCAAAGGAATAGTGCCAAAACCGGGGACTCGGAGCGGGCCGTCGCCGCTGTTCTCGAAGGTGATCATGGTGGGCTGGTCGCCTTTGTCGGTAGGAGGCGGATGATCATCGTGCATGGTGGAGAAAGAGGGGGAGAAGGGTGTTCTGTTGCTTGAGATGCAAGTAAAAGGAAACTGGGTGAGGTGGGATGAAAATGTGAAGCCTCGCGCAGAGAGAGAGAGGGAGAGGGAGAGAGAGAACTTGAAGGGGGGAGATCCGACTGGTTCTATGTACCTGGTCAGGCAGGGTCGGCTAGGCCCCTTTGGTGTTTAGTCTGGCGTTCTATCGACCCTTATAGCTAGTATAGCTGATAAGACAGTTGAACAGAGAACTGCTCACAGATAGCCAGGTTGAGTACTTGTACTCTGTAGTTTGCTGAGCAGAAATGTGATAGTATGTCCGAGTCTATCCAGAGTATATTTAAGCAGAACTTGACTAGATGAGATTCAAATTGGAACACTGCTCACCAGATATACCGACCAAGATCTCACTTGTTTAACGATGTCACAGAGGTAACCTTCTCTTCTCGTGATCCCCTCTTTGATTCAACATACTACAGGCATCCTGTGTATAGTCACTCCACAGATTTCCAAGCAGCAACTGAGAAAAGGCTCAGATTCCAGTCGGCCGCGTTCAATCGGTGGCTTAAGTACGGCTGAGCGGACGGGACGCCCTGTTTTCCACACCCTGTGGTCGTATGTGCTTGAGACCTCTTCGGTCTGAAACATGAGGCAGAAAAGTTCATAAGATAAATTGTGTTTTTTTTTTTTTTATTGAGGATATATTTTAGCAGATTCTTCGTAGTTCTACTGTAAAGTTCAATACATACTTTATAAGAGATAGTATGATTAACTGGGAGGTTCTTGACAGCTTATAAAATGATACTCATATCGTAGTATTCGGCCGAATATTTCACAGGGCATCGGTCTTCTCCGAGCGTTTGTAGGAACGTATTCCGTGGGAAGCTTACTTGAAAAAACGATCAAACGCACCCGAGGTCCTGGCCGACAATTTCCGCATAGCGCGTAGCATAAATGCTGAGGATCGGTTGAACAAACGAAAAAGTTCTATGGGCATTGCGAGCGTTTGCCACCCGTCCGGCATAAGCATGTGCATACGGGGGCAGTATCTCATGAAATCATGACTTTTTCCCTTTCTCTGGCAGATTGCTCGAAATAGCCTAGCTTGCATCTGACAACCGTTCACAGTGCACTTGTGTAGCAGCTCATTGGAGTGCGGGATTTGGACTGTGGTGCATCCATGGAACGCAGTGATGCTCCCGCATCCACGATCCGGAGTATAGCATCGATCGAGCCGTTGCCCGTCCTGCAAAGAGAAATCGGGGCTACTCGGGCCAGCTCTGGGGGTCTAGACCCTTGTGTGCTGGGGAAGTTCATTGAATCTTTTCATCTTCAACTCAAGATGTGAAGATTCAAGTGATATGATTGACATAGAGACCGACTGCCGGACACGCAACACTTTGATCGCCTAGCGAAGCATGCACAATGCAAGTGTTGGCCTTCTTGATATCGTTAACCGGTCTCGCAACAATCGCGGTGGTTCTCCGGTTGTGGACTCGGCTGCGTCTGCGGAGTGCGGGGTGGGATGATTTGCTGATTGTGGTGGCTCTGGTAGGTGTTCCTCGAGGCTGTATACATCTTGGCCATGAACATCACCCTTCATCCGTCTCCCTAACATAACCATAGACCGCCAACCTCATCCTCTTCGCCTGCCGTGTCGTCGGCAAGTCTTCCACCTAATCCTTCAAACCCCCCTCACCCCAATCAACCTCATCCCTAAAATCCCCAAGCTAACCCCCCCGCCAGAAATCCGACACGGCCTCGGCCACCCCCGCGAAACCCTCACCCCGGCCGCCTTACGAACCCAACTCAAAGTCCGTCCTTCCCCAGCCTCCCAATCGCTTTCCCAAATAAACAACCCACCTAACCGAGAAAAGGCATTATACTTCTCCCTCCCTTTCTACCACCTCACCGTCATCACCAGCAAACTCTCCGCCCTAGCCCTATACACGCGCCTCTTCCGGCTGCGCCGCGTCCTCCTCACAAGCTACAGCCTTGCCATCCTCCTTACTGTCGCGGGGCTGTGGATCATCCCCAGCGCATTCCTCTTCTGCCTGCCCGTGCACGACTTCTGGTCTCTGGGCCAGGATGCCGGGCAGCACTGCCTGCCCAAAAAGGCCGTGTGGGTGAGCAACGGCGTCATCCAGATCACGACGCACGTGGTCGTGCTGGCGATCCCGCTGATCGTGATCCCGACGCTGACGCTGCGGCGGCGGGTGAAGGTGGGGTTGTTTTTGTTGTTCGGGGTGGGGTTGATGTATGTCCCCCTTTACCTTCTGTTTCTTGATTTCGGGCTTGCGGAGGTGGATTGGATTTGGTGGATTTGGATTGCCTTGGATGGGGTGCTCATGCTGATGTTGTGCTGAGGATTAGAGTGGTCGCGATCAGTATCTTCCAGCTAGTGACGGTGATTGAGATTCTGACGAGGGGGCGTGATTTAACGCGTATGCTGCCTAGCCTACCCTACCTTACCCTACCTACCTGCCCTACCCTATCCTACCCCAACCAATTCCACGCATCCCCATCCACGCCACGCAGCACAACACACCACTAACCCCAATTCCCCGGGTGCTGGGGCACAGACAAATCCCGCACCACCACCCTCCTCGCTAGCGCCGAAGCCAGCGCCTCCATTATCTGCGCCTGCATGCCCCCGCTCTACCCGCTCTTCAGCCGGGCGTGTTCGCGCTGTCTGCCCATCGTCGAGCGGGTCTCGGCGCGGGTCGGATGGAAAGGCGTGGCACGGCCGCATCACCCACACAACCAGACGGTAAGCATCCATCTGACGCGGCCGGTGGTGATCGAGAACCCGATCTTCTTTGATGCGTTCCGCATCGGGGGCGGGAGTTACTCGGCTAGTGTGGAGGTTATGGTTCCCCCTTCTGGGGGATCGGGGGGTGGGGAGGGGAGCGGGGAGCCGGGGGTTTCGGTGTTCAGGACTGTTGATATTGGTTATGATTTGGAGAGGGGTGGGGTTGGGGATGTTCTGGGGGATAGGGAAAGGGATAGGGATAGGGGTTGGGGGGTGGATTTGGCGGACTCGGGGGAGAAGGGGAAGGGGTATGGGGGCAAGGTGGTCAGTTTTGAGGAGTAATGTACAGTGGATTGTACATTGTCCTAGGGGGCAGTGTGTGTTGGGGGGGGGATACTGCTGGATATAGAATTTTTGCATATGTATGTACATTTAGATAACTTCATGCTGAGAGATAAGCTGTGACCAGACGTTCCTGAGTCGATGTAACGATTTTTGCATGAGGCGGTCATCCTATGTGCGTTGTGTCCAATCCCGCACTGTATACATACTTCAACTAAGCAAAATCAAACCGTTGAATAGTCGGACGTATTTCCCACATATGCCTCTCCCAAAATCCCAGGGGGAACCGAGACCCCCAACGAAATGGGCCGATCAGGCTTTGGGCTTCCAGCCGTGTGCGGTGATGAGGTGTGGCCCGAACATAGTCTTTATATCTAGTATTGCCCACTCGGTGCGTATCCTATCAGCTTGGGCGGGCACCTATTGTATAGCCGCGAACCTTTCAACACACCGCTGCTAACTCCAAGCTCGCGCGCCTCAGCCTCTACAGATGAGGCCATCCTGGGCTATCCCCCTGACTTGCTTAGCCGAGGACGAGAAAGTAATCAGTGATTCGATGAGGGGTATGTAACCTGTTTTGTCCCAGCTTAAGACGCAACTCCTGACCAACTGGCATGATAGGACCAGTCCGATTCCCCGAACTCATCGGCGGAAAAGAAGAAACGGTCCTAGTCTCCATCGCAGAAGAGACCGATTAAGAGGAGGGAACTCCCGATAGACTTTTTCTAGAATGCTGTGCTGGAACCCGCGGAGCAACTGGTATACGACGGTGGACCTGCTTTCGAACCCATGGCTCCCACACATGGGATCTGCGACCACCAAAGAAGCGATTATCACCTGTATAGCATATCCGAGACCACTCTTACTCACTCATGGGCTCTGGTGGATCGAGCTATTGCGGTTCTTTGCGCCCCACGATCCGGTAAATCGAACGGCCACGCGCGAGAGAGCTCCAATTCTTCTTTCTCGTATCGCGCATGCGTCCACCAAAGTCGTATCTCGCCTTGGGGAGAGTGCGGTCGAGAGCTGCTGGTAGGCGGCGACTTTTTGCACCTTGAACTTAATCTGCACGTCAAGTTGATCCCACAGGCTACTCAATGGCACGCCGCGTGCATTCCCCATTAGGATGTGCTCCGCCGCCACCGGATTGTCGGTCGAAGAACTCCACGCCAGAACTTTGGGCACCGGGGTACCGAGGACGGTTCCTCATCTCTTCTAATGTGAACACTCTCGTAAAATAGCCACGACAAGGCAAGAAAGATATGCATCCGAAGTCCATCGTCGCGACCTCCGAGGCAGTGGTGAAGTGCGGAAGCCCAGCATTCGGATTCGGAACTTTGCCCACTCCCTGAAACCTATTGTCCATGGTGAAGCGTATAGCCTTATTGTGCATCCCGTCGGCCATTTTTTTCACTGCCGATACACGTTCGCGGCCCTTGCTGGCAGCCTCTGCCGCCCGAATAGCTAGGCAGGCGAGCTCATCCACGTCAAAACGGATGTGTCTCTTGGCCAATTCTCTGGCCTCGTCAGTGAGAAATCAGCCGCGGGTGAACTGAAAAAGGGTTCCATCGGGTGCTGTCCGCTCGCACGGGGAAGGGGGTTTGGTCGCTGTCAGTTGCCGCCGGGTTTGGGCGCTCAGCATCAGTCGGGCGGGGGGGGCGGCTTTGACTTCGAAAAGGTGGTCTGGACGCGCAGTGTGAGCAGAGCGCAAGCTCGCGAGCCAGCGGTAAGTTAATACGTACACTAGAGCATCTTCAGTCCGCCAGCGACGGCCACATGAATGCGGAGACTGGGGGTGGGGATAGTCGAGTAGTTGGGGAACTTTGGGTGAAGGAAAGAGAACTGGGAAACAAAGTAGAGCGGTGAGTGGTTACTTGGATGTTGAACAACATTCCGGAGGTTTGGCCCTGGTCGCTGCCACTGCTATCATGATTAGATCCCTAGAAAAAGTGAATCATTGCTTCTATGGCTCTGGGGTCGTTGTCCTCGTGTCGTATATTGTTTATCTGTTACTTCCGAATGAATTCGAATATGGCTCAAGCCTTACTTACTTTTCAGTTGTGGTTGGAAAGTTGGAGAGGTCATCGTAGTATTTATGAAATATACAAAACTACTTCTTATTCTACTGCTATTCTTCTCTCCATGTATATATTCCAGGTGATGGAATCAGAAGGTTAAATAGCTTCAAGTTCATATTTCTACTGCTTTAGTGTGAAAACCTCTGTCGCCAATATATCTCAGCTGTCCAGCTTAGGCTCTCTGCATCAAACAGAACCGTTGTTTAATTGCTATTACTTCGTTGTACACACACCCAGCACCGTACAAGGCATTCATTCATGATAGCGGACTGATAGCCAGGGCTCTTACCCGCGTGCGGACAGCTGAGCGTAAAACTAAAACCCCCACCTTCTAACACCCGTCCCCTCCCTTCATTCCCATATCCTCCCCCCCACAACCACCATACTTAAACTGCCCTTCCTCCCCTCCGATTCTCCGAACGAGGCTACGAGGCTACGAGGCAAAACGGCGGCTCTGTTCTGAACATCCGAACCATATCGGGGAAGATCAACGACCGACCAGCTACTCGTTGTTGAACCTGCATTGCTATGGACACCTGCAACTATCTCCGCTTCCCGACCGGGTATAAGTTACTCAACCTTTTTTTTTTCTGTGCATGTATTTCCGGTACATCCAATTTAGCATCCACTGATTTTACACATAATTACCGCATCAGAATCTCCGTCGGCCTTTGGTTCATTACAGACAATCTGGCTAAATATCCAGATGGTGGTCGGAGAAAGTAGAATAGTGTGCTGTGCCCCCCGGGCAGCAAGGCTTGGACCATGTTCGTTTGGTCGAGACACCGGAAAACTCAGTTGGCTAGAAGTTTAGCTCAACTAGCCAGCTAACCAGCCAGCTACTGCGTCATGTCTCGTTAATACTCAACAATCGATTGTCACTGGATCAATTAATCAAAGTGGCTGACAGCCCATCTGGTCTGGCACATGGCCACATGCCGGCTATTGACACTAACCTGTGCTTGGCGGCTGGCGCTCTCCCCTGAGTGGGGTTGGCGCCCACGCGTGGCGTCCACACAACGGAAAAATCGGACTGGCGCCGGAATCACTGATAGGACTGATCGTATAGAAATTTGGAGATGATTGGTTCAGCTGCTAGCAGGATAATAAATAACAGGCGCTTAGACGGAGAAAGCGAGGGGAGCTCGTTATGGTATCGGATAGGTTCGTCGTAGGGTGTTTTTTTGGTTTTGGCTCAGCCTGAGCGCTCAATCCTGGCGCGTACTTTGGACAGATAGGGGTGGGGAAAAACAGAAGGAAAGGGAAAGCAGAGTATCGAAGTTGTCCTGTGATTTGTTTCTAAGGTTAGATGAATTTCGTATTTCCGAACAGATCGGAGCCGATAGCTCTCCCTCCAGGACAGAATGAGAGGAAACATTCTGAATCAGGGACCGGGAATGGAAAGTTAAAACCCCACGAGGGCAACAAGGAGGCTGGCCTTTAATTTCACCCAACCCAGAAAGCAGCAGGGCAACATCATGCCATGGTTCGTGATGACAGTTCCTGGTGTTGGTGGTGATGATGATGATGATGATGATGTTGTTGTTGTTGTTGTTGTTGTTGTTGTTGTTGTTGTTGTTTGGCTTGCTTACCTCCCAACCCGACCATCCCAATCCAAGCCAACCAAACCCCCTACTCCCCCCTCCCACCCCCCTGGTAACCCTACTAGTACATACTACATACGTAGTAGTACTGTACACTACCCAGGGGGGACAACCATGTGGCATGACGGCTACTACCCACCACGACGGCACTCATTTCGGCCGCATGCGGCATCCTAGGCAGGATCATTAAAAGTGCCACAGCACGTGGAGATGGCCTTTAAGGTCGATCGACAGACAGATCCCGGACTAGTCGCGCCGTCGAGTAGCATTCTAGTCGGGTGTCGCGCAGGTTCGTTTCTTTGTTCCGCCTGAGATTCTGTAACGGTACTACACAGGCCTGGCCTCCGCGAACTCTCAAACCTGTTGTTGGTTGGCTCTTGGGCCTCTTGGGCCTCGCGGGCGTGCCAGCCAGCGACGGGGAGAGGAGCGACTCAGACAAGCGCGTGCACCAGCCGAGACGCCTTGGTGCCTAAGGATTGTCGAAGCGCTGGACTGTGCACAGTTACGCACCACCCACCACGAGGCAATCAGACACGGTGGAAACGCCTTTCCAAGATGCACAGCGCTTCGGATGGATGCCGCCGAGCAACGGCCCCATTTAGTTCCTTCCAAAGTCAATGTTTCTCGGTCAATTTGTCAAGTCACAAGTGCCAACCAAAGGACACGACAAACACCTGACACTCAGACAACATCATTGGCATGACTCCTAGTTGGTGGAGTTCAGCTCAGCTCAGTTGCAATTTGGCGCTGTCCGTAAACGAATAGGGGTATGTAGAGAGTAGAAATGGACAAAATTGGTCGCAATCAAGATCAGTCAATCCTCATCGTCATCCTCATCATCCTCATCATCCTCATTCTTATTGTCAATCACCGCCTCGTGACATGTCGCTCTGGAACGGGACGACAGAGGGGCCATTTAGTTTGGGGATGTCTCTCAATTCCGTACTTTGCACTCGCTAAGCGTCTATCTCGCCTCAACTATTCAACACTTCGGCCCAAATGCGGGCGGAAGGGTGGATCGTAGGCAGTGCAAGGGGTGTTATTATTATTGCCATCCTCATTTGAATTAATTGATGAGAGGAAGAGGAGGGGGGGGGGGGATGCATGGGGGATGTTGGTTCCGATCAGAATACGAGGATGGTGGGTAAGTTAGGAAGTGTAGTGTGGTTCTTCGCCTCGATTACGGAGCGTCCTCCCTGTTGACAGCAGGCGTTGTTTTGGAGGTTCTTGATCCTGGCCGATCATTGCCGTGGCGGTCAGCAACCTCCCACACAATCACGAATCACGGGATCGGACCATCGGGCCCTTGCCATGCTCCGGACATGGTATCATTTCCTGATTGGTAATGGTGGATGCGATCATAACTGGAATGGGGCATTTCCATCTTTCATCTTTCATCTTACATCTGCTCTTCTGGCTCCTCCCTCCCCACCCGTCGGCGGCTCTGACCGTCCGTCCGTAGTCTCGCCTTGAGGCGTTCCCAATTTGGTCAATTAGACTACCTTCAATCCAGTGAGCTCCCTACCTTACCTTACCACCTATACTCCGAACTCCGTACTAGGTATACTTTGCGAGTACTTTTCTGTCACGAAGAGTACGAACTCCGTACTGCGGTCACTGTCCAAGGCAGAACGATGTCATGATTCATGATCCGGGAATCCTTCGGATGTGACAGCTCCGCCAAATGGAACACCAGGCTTTTCTCCGCCTCAGGCGTCATCGCAGAGAGGGGGAACAAGAAAGTGATGCGGAAGCGACGCCTCCAACGGTTGCGAGATCACCCCTCGTGGACAAAAGTGCAGGGTATGCAAGCCTGCGAGGCCCATGTATCGTCACTTGTCGTGGAATCGGACGATCCTCCACGCGCGAATGCTGTCCGTCAGCATGGGAAATTCTAGAAGGACTGTACACGAGTACTGCATGGATGTATCTTAGCGGACAAGCTAGAGCAGAGCTTGAAGCAGAGTCCGAGCAATATTACGCACATACTCTGGACGATGTGCGATGGAACTATCAGGTAGCTGCTGCCTTAGCCTGTCAGCTCCGTACCGTACAGTCAGTATCTTCCCGACAGCCGTGTCGAAAATCACCGAAAAGTGGATTTCCGGCCTGGCGTGCGGACTATGAGTATTAGGCTAGCAGGGGGGAAGAGCCTTGTCATGATGTGATGTCTTCAAGCTGAAGAACAATCCAGAAAAAAAGACCAAGAAGACCCTTGGTTGGAAAATCCATACTAAATCAATCGACTCATCAAGGGAGAAAAAGAAACGACCGGACAAAACCCCAAGGGCGGTCCCAAATCTGGCAAGAGTCGAGTTCCGTAGCGTGGCTGGCGGCCGCTAATGTCGTGGGGGCCAAAAACCGGCCGAAGCAGCAGAAATTGGGGATAAAAAAAAAGAAAAAGAAAAAAAAAAAGAAAAAGTGAAGAAGGAAAGAAGGAAAGAAAGAGTGCTGAGTCTGAGGTCTGAGGCAACCAACCCGAGGACTGCACTACTCAGTACCAGTACAATAACATTGCTCAATAAGTCATTGATAGATGAAGTGTTTCCGTGGGTGATGTGAGCATAGTGAGCGGGGACAACTCTATTATACTTCTAGTATGGATTCTGGATTCACATATCGCAGGTTCCATGGGAAGGTACGGAGTACGGAGCACAGTAAACTCGTACAACGAGGCAAGCAGGCAAGCAGGCACCACTTACTCGATGAAACATTGATCGATCGAACGAGCCAATTGAGTCCCGGCCGGAAGAAGTTGAGGCATGGATCCCCCTTGCGGCTTCCCAGCTGTCCTGGGCCCTCCAGTCGCCCTAAACTGCCATCCATGCATAGCCCGGACCCCCGGAAAGGATGGATTTTAACCGCTCATTGCTTATCGCCATGTGGTTTTTTGCATCTAACCAGGGCCATGCCTTTTTGTGTTATCATGACGATCGCGCGGGCTCCACGTTGAACATGGTAGGCAGCGTTATCGTTCGCTGCTTGTGTAAAAGCCCACTCACCAGCGGTGGGTGACTAGCCTTGTAGACTCTAGCCTTGGGATGCCCCAGTTTGACGCTGCGAAGCCCCACCTGGGATGGCCAAATCGGGGAATTGGGTTATCCTGCCTCGCGGTTCCGGCCCCCAAAAACCCATTCGGATTGCAAAACGAAGCGCTGTTAGACAATTGGAACTTTGAACTTTCACCCAATTGCCCCTCTTCCTTCACTGCTACTATCGACATACGTACTGTACGAGGTATAGTACTAGGTCCAGTACTAGGTCCAGTACTGCGTAGATACTTCTCTGCTTCGTACTCAAGTCTCACCATCCCCTCGAGCCCCCTTCGCCAACAACACGGTGGAGGATGTAATAACTTAATCATGTTCTATTATTTGCTACATTGCGACACACCAGTGAGACGGCACATCAGAGGAAGCAACCCTTGTTAGCGGGAATGTTAAACAATCTATTTTCCCAAGGGGGCTGCGTCGGTATCGCGATTGATATTCGATCCTGCCAATTTCTCCCCCAGTGCGATTCGATATTGGCTTGAGTGGATGGTGAGTGAGGAGCTAGTTTCCAGCCGGACTGTTCACTATAGGACTGCTATAGTTACTACTAACTAGGAGCTTGTTTCTAGACGTTCGAGGAGGCTCTCAGGCCAGGCTCCCGCGGCCTTGGGAGATTTCCTCGAGCATCGACTACTACTTACCCCTGTCCGAGCTCCAGCCTGACTTGCCCAGTGTTGGTATGGAAGGGAGATCAGACATGTAGTAGCGGACGACTGATGTCAATTGGTCTCTTTTGTTTTGACTTTGACTTTCCTAGGGTTCCTATGCCCCCTTCCCCCTCCCCCTCCCCTCTCCGTTTCTCCCCTCCTTCCCTCCCTCCCGTCATCTCGGGTGGGGTCAGACAAACGGCAAGTGGCTTCCAAGGATCAGGCTGATGCGATTGAGCTACGTTGGGACCTTCCGACCTTCACGTGGCGAGGGTTCGAGACTATTCCTCATCCAGCCTCCTGACTCAGAATTGACGGTCAGAGCCGGGGCAAACCAAAGGGAAATGGCCTATGATGAAACGAACATTTCAACAGTCAAGTCGGTAGACCCGTGAGAGAATGCAATCGAATTACATTCGTTGCCATTCATTGTCTTTGCGAGAGGGGAGTTGGTCTGTCAAGCGCCGCCGCACTGCACTGTCCAAGTGGGCTGGCTCCTCAAACCTAACCTACCTTTCATGCCATTATTGCCCCCCTCTCTCTGTCTCTCTCTCTCTCTCTCTGTCTCTCTCTCCATTCATCAAGCAATCCACCGATCCATTTATCTACTACTCTCTACCCTTCCCACCCACAGCCCCGGCCGAACAATGGCCGCTAATCTGCGCGACCGATGGAGACGCAAAGCCACCAGGGGTCGCAAGATCCATCTCTGTCAATGTTGGTTCTCTGGGTTCTAGATTCATTCAGGAGGAAGAAGATCGTGTCTCATCCACAGCCGTGGCAGTGAAAAAAATAGATCGACCATCTATCATGGGGACTTTGATTTCCCCAACCTTGTTAAGACGGATGAAAATCATAGGGACGAAACGTCCAAATTACCAAAATTACACTTAAATAAAAGAGAGACCAAAAATAAAAAGGAATCGAGAAAAAAAAATCACAGACGCCGAAAAAAAAAAGTTGCCGTAGCTCCATCGAGAAGAAGCACGCGAATTGCGCGCAGGGTTAGGGAAAATCCGAGAGAAATAATCATCATCATCATCATAATAATAACAACAATAATAATAATCATGATGAACGAAGGACGGTAATTACTCTCAATAACCATTGCTTGACGACAGTAAAATACATACAACCCACATTCACTCATGCGCCCATACGCCCATACGCCCATACGCATACCCGCCCACCACAAGCTGTCAAACTGGTGAAGACCAGACCAGGGACGAACTACCCAGTCCCCAAAACCCCAAGACCCCAAGAGTCTTCTCGGCCCCCGTTCGTTACGCTTGTTCTGGACGGATTTGGCTGCTCCATCAGCAGACCGTTAAATACTCTTGTCTGACCGGTTCCATGGAATGGACTCAAGAGATCAGTTTATCTTTCCCCTCTGCTATCTATTGATCTATTGATCTATCGATCTTTCGATCTATCTGCAATCTCATCTCTCTGTCTGACTGTCTACCTCTCTACCTGTCTACCTGTCTGTCTGTCTTGTCCGTCGTGTCTGTCTCTCAACTACCTAGTAGTAGTTTTTGGATGGTCTTACTACCCGTCCCGTCACCTCGTTTTCGGTGGATATAGATTGCGCTGTTGATTCCGAGAAGGATTCCCGTCCGTGGGTGCTAAGACTACTACTTTCCCACCACCGACCAAACTGTATGTCCCATCATCACCATCAGTGCTTCGGGCTTGTTCCAGTCGACTATTCGTTCTTCCTCCTCCACTCCCATTTCTATTATCCGTCACCCGCCAGCTGCCTCTGAATCATCTACTTCTTACTCTCAGTCCTGTTTTCTCTTTCTTGCTTCATCTCCCCCGTTGAACACCCACTGTGCTTTGATTATCTATCTACTTGCCTCTTCTGCCTCTCTTGTCTTTTTGCCTCTGAGCATCGGATCCACGCAAATCTTCAATGCTCTCGAAGGGGATCCACCACTCACCAGGATATCCGCATTTCTATCACAGGCAGCTCAGTGGCTCTTGCGCACGCAGCTGGAATCTCCCGTCATCCTCATCACCATCGTCTCCATCCGATCTAGCCAAACTGGACGATTTTCGCCGGCCTAGGTCCGTAGCGCCTCAGAGTACAGCAGCTCCCACACCCGCCATTTCAGCTTGGTCCGCTGGTGTCCCACACCCTGGCTCCGCGTACAACGCTCCTGGAAGCCTAAGATCGAGCATCAGCACAAACGAGGGACAGCACAATCTGCCCGTATTGCATACCATTCCTAGCATCGGCAGAACGCCATTCCCGTCCGAGCTGGTCCCGCCCGACAGTGAGCCGAGAGGACTCCCTGCAACCGGACTACTGCGCAGCAGAAACCCCGAACAAGCCAGTTTTCACACCCCACGGTACGTTGGACATTTGACCCATCTTTAGCCCTGATGGACGCGAGTACTAAACACCAAGTCTTACCAGAGCCTTGCGAGACTCTTCACAATCGATGCATCCCGGATCAGTAGCCTATCTGACTTCAAACATGGCACATAATTCACAGAGTAGGCCGGACCATCGACTCCTTGGTCTCCCGAGCTTTTGACTGACGAGAGACAGACTATGGCTGGCAAAATCGGCTGCCTCAGCCTCTCCATCCCTCCTCTATGTCAATGGACCAGCATCCATTTCCCCCAGCCCAAGTTCTTCCGCCACATCCCAGTTATTCAGCTGGCTATCCCCCGCAGCCTTCCGGTTCTCAGGGTTATTATCAACCAGGGCTTCCTTCCGCACAATATCTGATGCCACAGAGCCGGCAACAACCTCGAAGGTACTGCCTCTACAGTTGAGGTTCAGATCCAAACCCAGGAAAGAAACTAATTCCATGGCTTTCACAGTACCTCTATGCCATATTCATATCCCAGCAGTTCCGTCTCAGGCAGCCCGCCATCGATTCCAGATCCAGCATTCGCTCCAGCGTAAGCACACCTTACACTTCCCTTGAGCATCTTGATGCTAACCCGACATCAGGCCATCGTCCTACCTTGCAAATCAACCGGACTACTACATGGCACCGAGCTCTTCACTATCGTAAGTGATTTGTTATTATTCGACACTGATCAAGGTCCCGCCTAACATGACAACCAAGCAGACAAACCCCTAACTCGATACCACACCCCCAAGGGCTTATGCCTACAGGGACAGTTTACTCGTCGCCTGAGTCCGCGCAAAACTCTTCCGATCCGGAACAACAAGTTCGTGTTATCAGCTTTCGACCAAAGCCGCAGTGTTGGGACCACGGATGCAATGGCCGCGAATTCTCCACATTTAGCAATCTTCTACGCCACCAGAGAGAGAAATCGGGCGTTGTGGCGAAGGCTGAATGTCCCAGCTGCGGTGCCGTTTTTACTCGGACCACAGCCCGAAACATCCACGTCGCTCAGGGGAAGTGTAAGGGCATTGCACGTGAGCCGTCGGCTGAGTGAAGTGTTGGGGCGCCTTTTTCTTACCATTCTTACCACGCGCCAAGAAAAAGCATACAGCAGACCCTTTTCTTAGACTACGATTACAAGGACCTGTCTTCAGAGCACATATCTACAGTTGTCGAAGACACAGCCGCAGGAAAGCTGTCGTCAATTTTACACCAGACCACTCTACGCGAGATCACGGGTGGAGCGCGGCCAAGGCACTTGCCGATACGATATCTGGCGGGCGAATGACCCAAGCCAGTCTGGGCGTGAGGGGTACGCTGGATCTACCAATAGACACATTCCGGAGTGTCCATTCTTTGCATATTACATTCTGGGAGCGATTATTTCTTGCATTGTTCTGCTTTTCATTTATCTTGATTTAATACCCTATGAGATTGTTCTTGTTTGTGTTACTGTGATACACCATTTATATCTTCGGCAGTACCTTGGACTGCCAACTTACTTAAGCGACTTCGCGATATTTTCTAGACCGGATACCTGTTGCTAGATTTGGATCAGACAGCGATGCACATCAAATACCTCTAGAACTTTAGTTATCTTCTACTACTTCGCTCTCCCTAACAATCGTCAACCTCTGTCAACACCGTGTCTCACTTCATATTGATCTTCCATGTGGATACGAAATCGGGACTCATGGTACTGCTGACTGCTGGCAAGCCAAATGAAATGCATACCTCGTGTAAGGGGGCTGTATGAAACGACGCGCTGCTAAATTTATGACCTGTATGACCAAAGAATACCACAGCATCGGCGATCAAGAAGACAACAGTCACTTGGGATAAGCACTAATGTAGTCGGGCTTTCTTGGATCGAAGACTATTGATTATTGATATTGGCTATGTTTACCTGAAACAAACAGAGAAGCGACTACGGCGTAGCTACATTAGTTTCTAGTCTAGTAGCCCCTGGCAGCCCAACCTTCTGTTTGTTGGCCTGGAGGCTTTAGCAGGAGATGTGGATGTGGGCCTGAGGCATTAAGGTTGACACGTGGCTGTCTTCGTCTTTCTTCATTCACCAACGTCACCTGATCAAGTCGATGTCGTAAGGGACCGCGGCTCTTCCCGATGCCTGAATTCCCAGGACGCATGACTCACTCCCACTTCACTCCCACTTCACTCACTCGCTTCGAGGATGGTCCATCTCCCTTGATCAGCCAAGCTGTTTCTTCGTTTACATTTCTCCTGCAATTCCATTCCAGAAACACAATCTCCCGCGTCCCCTTTGGCCAACTAGTGCCTAGTCTGTTGCCTCTAGCTATCGTATTCCCTCCCAAGATGCTTGTTACAGTATCGATCTATGGTTATTGTGAAGGACTACGAACATTAGGCTATACAAAAGCGCGTCGAATATAGGAACCTGCAGTGGCGCGACTCCGCCCGAGTCCCCGCTAGAATTGTACAACTCGGACTGACTGCGGTCAATCTCCACAATCTATCACTACCACTCCGACTATCTTGCCGCTTAATTCTACTCCACCACCATTCATAATGGCATCGGTTTTCACCTATGACCCCGACCCTCCAAGGGTCTCTTCGCCGTGGTCAACATCGGGCTCTTCAACACCCCAGATGGGAGCGGCTACCAGCAACCGCGTGGTGCCTCGGACCCGGTCCAGCGTCGTGCTGGACCGGGCCGACCCTGACCTGCTGTCGGACTATGGCATCGCAAAACTGGAACCCGAACCACAAGAGGGTCCTACCGAGTACAAGTTGCATCTGCTGTTGCGTCCCCGTCGTCCGTTTGTGGCTATGTCCACGGGCCACCTGGTGGGAGGCTCGTATCATTTTCGAGCGAGCCTCTCCAACGCAAGCCCGACGCCCTCCAGCTCCGAATCAGCTGCCAGGCCGCCGCAGGCTCGCTCCATGGAGAGTCGTCAACAGAGGCTCCAGAACTTGACTACGCAGTTGCTCTGGCGTCTGCAGCAGTCGTCACCATTCCACTCATCTACGACCGCCAATTTGGTCCTGCCCGTGCTCCCTGACGCAGCCCCGCAGCTGGGGGCGCCGCAGAAGCCAGCTAGGTTGCTCCCGGGTCTCGAGGAGAGTCAGGGGGCTCTGTATGAGTTAGGGGTTGCCGATGACGGGACCTTTGTCGGACTCACCGTGGACGAGCTGGAAGAAAGCTTGTCCACGCTGCAGGTCATGGCGGCCAGCCTTGGCTGCAAGGTCGAGATCCTGCGTAGGGTCATTGTTGGCAAGTGCGAGTGGATTGAAGACTCCTGTACCGCGAAAGCCGATACCGGCAAAGTTCATACGGATAGCCTCTGGGTGGCCGAGGCCCTCGTGAGTCCTGATTGGGAGTTTTACCGGGTCAAGTCTCCGAAGACAGGCGCAGGGGAAGACGGCTCTTCGACGAGCGCCCCCAAGAGACGGCCTTCGCTGGATGACTCTTCCAAGACAGAGCAGATCCGCGTCTCCATCTCAGGCCCCAGCGCAGCCGGCAAATCTTCCCTTCTGGGCACGTTGACCTCGTCGGTGCTC